TCCGTGCAAGCTCATCACGTTATCAGTTCTCCTCTGTACTATAATTATAATGGCTACAGTCTAGCCACCACCAAGTGTTATACACTGGAGAGTGGTCTAGCCCAGCAAACTCTATTGGTGTGCTGTTGTGCACATGACTTACATATTCACATGAAATGACTCATGATGCAATCACATGAACATAAACCTGATTATTATAGCCAACCTGTTTGTAGGAAAGGCGGGCCGGAGTAATGCTTACTGTAGGATAATCAAGTTGAAGCATTACACACTTGCTATTATGAAATACCTTCCCCAATTTTATCCCTTGTTGGGACTGTGTCTCTTTACGCAAGCACACCCTTGAGTGTATAATAATATACTTAGTGGGGACTTAGTGACTACTGTTTATACTCTAGTCAAACACCAACTGCCCTGCCCCAATGCTCCACATCTATATGTTCGTAACAAAAGACCACAACAACAATAAAGTGTGTTCTGATGTAACATGTCTACAGCTAGAGAGTCCTTTTGCAATTCAGTCATGCATATCTGGGCTTGCCTTAGCTATGTTATACTAAGTCAAGTGTATATAGTGTCTAGACAACATGCTGCTTGTTAACTGAAATGAAGGCTGCACATGTGACTGGACCCACGACAGGGCCCAAAGGAGTCAGCTATATAGTTTGGCTATAAAAAATTATTGGCTAATTAATCTCGTAATGTACTACTACCACAGTTTCCGGTAACGTTCTAGGAAAGGCCCATGATGAACGGAAAGAGAGCTAAGGTCAACCTGGCCCTGGCTACGTACCCCTGGTATAGTGTCCAGCGCCGTTCCAAGAAAGATGACATTATTAGCGGAAGGATGGAAGGCTATTTGAAGCACACCCGAGGCTAGACCACCGACACTTGAGACTGGCACTGCAGAGGAGATGTCGCTGAATCACGCCCTAAAACTGATCCTAACAGTCACTGGTGTGCTACCTGCCGTGGTCTAAAAATCGGCGCCTTCAACGTCCGGATTCTAGGGCAAACCAAGATCGCAAACACCGAAGTCGTTGACGTTCTCGTGGAAGTACGTACGACTGCAGCTAGCTATAAGTCATACAAGACATTCGCTCACATGCATGATTTTTTTATTTTTATTTTTTATAAAACTTTATGCAAATACATGGATACACAAGAAGCAGTGCTTATTAGTAAGTGTACCCTATTGTATTGTATAATGCTTAATACATGAGAGACAAAATATAGCCGAGAAGCATTTTTTTTAAGTCAATTAAAGACTGTGAATCTGTGACATGGTTTGGTAATGTGTTCCAGACTATAAGCAGGTAAGAGGAACATAGGAATATTTCAGGCTGTTTGTTCTTGCAAATGGTTGATTGATTTTTATTTCCAGATTGTGAGACGCTACGATGTGATATTGGTGCAGGAAATAAGAGATAGTGTTGGCGAAACAGTAGTTCCGACACTGTTAGCCACAGTGAACAGGTACCCCGCGAACGTAGGCATGTGCAGCAGAATCCGATCGCGAGCGCTCGGCGTATTTTGGCTATAGATTATGTGCTCTTACTAACGATATGCAGTGGTTCGCCGGAACATGCTTACCAGTGTGAAGTGAGTGGAAATGTTGGAAGGAGCGCACAAAAGGAAAGATACACCTACTTTTACAGGTAGAGCCGATACAGCCCCTTGAAGTGTTCAACTGGTTATAAGGTGGTTTGTAGGAATGAAACAGTTGATGTATGCCAGTTTGATGATCCAAATGACCACTTTGAGCGAGAGCCTTTCAGCATCCTCATTTCAAGCAAGGAACCCAGTGACTCAGAAACAGGTTTGCTATTCACAACACAATAATAACCCTCGGCGCGCATGCGCAGCAAGGGTTACGGAAGTTGGTTTGTCTGTTAGTAGCTGCGTGTGTGTGTGTGTGTGTGTCGACGCTTATTCTGGCACTACAGGCTACGAGGCGGCCCAATAGCGATACCAGCGGCTTCAGAACTACGCGAGCCTGAAAATTAAAAGGGCGATTTTGCTGAAACGACTGCGTTCGAGAAATAATATGCCGAGAAAACAAGCCATGTGCACTGGGCTTACCGCGACCTGATCCGCTCGCTCTATGTACCTTGGGGGCTCAGGAAGTCACGAAGAATGGCATGTATCCACTCCCGCATGCTATCTTTCTCATGGGAGTGCATGTGAGGCCAGACGATGTTTGCTTTGAACTTGATTCACTAGGAAATGCTTACCGAAACACGCTTTTGGTGGAAGCAGCGGATTTATACTGGGAGATCTGAATGCAGACTGCAGGTATATAGCTACACATAGAAAAAGACATGCTAAAAAATGCCACGCTCAAAATGCCACTGTATATGCTCTTACGTTTATGCAGGTATTTGAGTGGATGCTCCTTCCAAGATCTTGAAATAGTACAGCGTCCCTTTGCATCGTGGTTAATAGATTACTCAGAGGACACCACCACAACTCCCAACTACTGTGCCTATGACCGGTATATTATCGCTATGTACTCAAATTGACCACCATCTGCAGTTTATAAAAATAATGTTAGGATAATTGCGCTGGGAGACACAAGGGACCATGTTGTTCCAGGCTCGGCGCAAGTAGCTATACAGATTCGACACAAATCTTTCCCTCTCCCAAGACCTAGTAAGTTTCTTGTTCCTTCTGTTGTTATTTTTGGCATGCTGGCCTCTTGCTGTTAGTGATCACTACCCAGTTGAAGTAGAGACCAATAACAAAGGTACTAGTTTTATAACATCATGGTTTTGAGGTGGCTTGGTTTATATACTGCTCTCTATCATACAGCCAGATGCATGAAGACCATCATCCTAATAGTTGTCCTATCGACACACCACCAGGCTCACTCCAGAGGCCCACACACTCTGAAGATAGCCACAGACAATGAATGCAGGACACACACGTTTGAACACAAAACAAAAATGGCAAACAAGTTGGAATTTTGTATTCAGGAGCATTTTGGATTCACTGACTGTCTAAAACCCAGTGACATTCAAAGCATTTCCTTAATTCCCGCCTACACTGATGCGTGGAGTCTAACATCGATTGTAACACTTGCAAGAGACACCTTTGGTGAAGTTACACTTCTCTCTCAAGACATTGACATTGATTTTGCTATGGATGAAGATAACAGCGGAAATGACACAACTCTTCATCTGACTCTTGCAAACTGAAACAATTTGGTTATCTCTTTTGTAGGCGAAATTCGAAACAAGAGTGGCAAGCCGTATTCAGCAAAGTACATCCACCAAATTCTCTGTGGTCTACAGCCCTACATGCTCGATCGCAATTTGACGCTTTGACTGCGTATACATACACTGTACTGTGTAAATTCCTCTCTCATGCTAATTGCATTCCTGATACACTTCCCTATGCATTGCACGTGGGCAGGGTCGAAGAACCCTCTGCTATACAAATGCGCGCATCAACTAATTGCATTCCCTATACACTTCCCTCGTTATTGCGTGTGGGCAATATGGGCAGCAGCTAACTCCATACCGCGGTGCGCTTTTGATGTTAGTGATACAAGCAATCTGAGATACTGACTACAGCAGTACAGGAGCGTGCAGTTATCATTGGAGGCGTATTCCTCAACCCATTTCATTTGTCGTAGGGTGAATATAATACGAAACGTACTTTCCCCCCACAGCTAGTTAACAATGGCTAGCCCGGAGTCTCGCTGTGGACATGAAGGCAGTCTTTCCCATATTTCTGTACGCAACTTGTATCTGTAGACTAAATTGGTACCAGATGGGGTAAAATACGCAAATTGCCCATCGCTTGTTGCAGATCCTCTGGTCATTCCACGTGGAGCTGTCTGCAGAAGGCGACACTGGGACTGTAAAGTAAGGAATAACAGTTCATAAAGCTCTCTCCTGTCGTTTGTCTTTCTGCATGGTTCTACCACAAATAACTATGTGTAGACTAAAGCATGTGTGGTTAACTTATTGACCTTTCTGGAGGAATGCAAATCTTGATGGTAATAAGGCTGGGTTTAAAATAAGGACTTGGGTATGTCATACTGTGTGGTTGCTACTTTCCGACTAGAATTGATCTGTAAAAAGGAGGTGGAATTCAATCAATATTCATAGGCTGTTAATAATACAACTGACCTGTTTCTTTAGTGCCTCAACCTCTGCTGGAGGGCTTTCTGGAAGTCAGCCACTAGAGCCTCACTTAATCGCAGATGTTCCTCCTGCAGTCAGGAGAACCTCTACTCACAAAACATACATTGTGCCACTATTCACCTTCTGTCTCAGTTGCTGCTGAGCCCTGTTCTTGGCCTCAACCATATCAGCTTCCTACAGGAAGGAAGACATCTAGGTACACACTTGTGCAAACCCTCAGGGAACGAGAAGTGGCTGTTGTCATGGTCTCTCGTAGCTTGCTCAGAGTCTGACACTGGTTAGTAGATAACATGTGGAACTCCATACTCACACTCAATTATATAGCTTATAATTGAAGCAGATCTGGTGTAGGGTTAGCCTGTGCTAATATTGTCATGTATGGTTCTCATTGTCCAAAAACTAACCTGTTCCCTTAATTCCTGAATCCATCTCTGAGAGCTAGTTAGCTGTTTTCTGATGGTTTGTTTTCCCGTCTCACTAGAATGTAGCTGCTGGCTTAACTCAGTCTCCTGCAAACACCATAATGTGTCATTCATGCACCTAATAAACAAGTATTACTAACTTTCTGTCTCATCTGGTAGATACGCTGCTTTTGGCTCTGCAGAGCCCGTAACAGCTCCAATTTGTTCATGTCTGTCTGCTCATCTCTCACTTCAGCTCTGGCCTCCTCCAACAGACGCAGCACCTCACGAATGCTTGGCCGGTTTTCAGGTAAGTTCAGACACCCCTCGATCATCTGGAGGAGAGGATGCTTCTCGTGTAGCTGCCTGCAGATCATCCTCATGTACCTCTCCCGTCGCTCCAACTCAGTCCGACCAACCAAACGACCATGCTCACGATAATTAGGAGCTAGCAATTTGCTGGGAAAGGTTTGGCAGAGTGTAAAAATGGCAACAACACCAAATGCGAAGATGTCAATGCTCGAGCTGTATTTTGCTTTCGAAACCTCTTCTTCTTCACCTTGATCCCTGTCTTCTAGAGCCTCTGGAGGCATATAAACGCCAGCACCAGATGCCTTTGTCATGGTGGCTGCAGCTCTCATACGAGGCACGCCCAGGTCTGCTATCTTGGCCACCATCCCCGAGTTCAGGAGAACGTTTCTGGCCGACAAGTCGCGGTGAATGATGGGAGCCAATCGCTCGTGAAGATCGGCTATATAGGCCGCACGCAACCTTGGGCGGCGTTTAGGAATAAGTCGTGGATCGTTTTGGCGGCGCAGATGGCTCCCACCTCCTCCACGCTGCCGTAGGCTCCTGCACCAATTGTAGTGCCAGTGAGTTGTACATTGGAGAGCATAAACGGCTCCAACTCCGGATGACTTTGAATAGACACCGCCATTTTCAGTGGCTAGCTCGGCCCGGCCGTATTGAGCACCCCGCGCGCGTAGCGTCACGCGTTGTTACGACGCTCACTCTACAAAACCGTCTGCTATGCTGTCGCCTCTATAGTGACTAGTCGCTATTTGAAGTCCTCATGAATAGGTCCCTAACCATAGGACCATACAGGTAACATTTTAGGTTCCGTTTCCTTCCAACAGGTGCAAAAAACGTAGACGCCGGGGAGGTCGCCTTGCAAAACTGATTTGCTGTACTAGAAGAGAGCAGGTTACTGACAGGTGAGTTAATCCACAGGAATATAACCATGGTTACCCTCGCTCGTTTCCTATAGCGAGGCTCTCACAGATGATACCTCATGTCAGGACTCAAGGTAGCTATATACAGTATGTAGCTAGCTAATAGCTATAGGGATAATGCACTTGCATTTCGTTCTTACACAGCCAGAGTGCTGGAATGTACAGCTCATGTTCCACTCACCCTTCATCTTCTGTCTCCTCACTTTCCCAAAGGTGATAAGAGGCATTGTTAGGGCAGTATGTGTATACAGTCTTATTCCTCACAGGGATATCGTGGGTCTCAGAGATGTTACTGACAATGACATGGCTGAAGATCATCTAATTCACTCTAACGAGAGCAAAGTGTTGACCTCGGAAGACACATTAATTGACCAGCAAGAGTTTGATGACACTTTCCCGTACGTTGCACACCTATAGATTTAGCCAACTCTGTTTCTAACAATCGTTTCTCGTTAGATCTTTTTTCCTCACACGGTTTGTGTGTGGAGAGAGTGTACTGCCAGAGCCTCAGAGAGCCAAACATGTGATCATCAATGACTCACAGACTGACGACGAATCAGATACGTATGGGTTCTTACTTCATGTAAATCATAGACAATGCAATACGAGAAGGGGCGGGGCTAGGGGTTAGACTAGACAATGGAAAGACAATGGAATACAAAAACATGTACTTTCATGAGCTAAACTGAAGCAAGGACCGACATATGGTCATAATACTACAGTCCGCATGCATGGTTCTCTCGTGTGTGACATGTCTATGATATCGGTTACAGAGACAAGAATGCTTGTGATTCCGACATCCACCAACGCATTCTGAGTGATGGTGACTATAATGAGGTGGTGGACAAGGATAGTGCCCCAGTCCAAACTGTTACTGCTGCTCTGAGTCATGATAATGACTCCCAAACCTCACCCACGATCGTCAACAATGGTGTGTTCTAAACTTCGTACGTAGTTTACATAATGCATTGTGTAAACTGCCAAACAGATGTTTGTCCGTGACCATGACATCATCCGCTGTATGCTCCAAGACGGAAACTATGATTTGTCAGTTGAAGTGTATGCTGCACTCCAGATGACCATTAGTCAGGATGGATTTCACACTCCCTCCAGTACCGATGATGATGGTAAGGACTAATGTATATAACAAACGTTGCTCTTTTGACATGTCATATAATTGAAGGTATGGATGCACATGATTGTGAGATTCTCCAGTCGATTCTGAACGATGGAAATTATGAGATGTCGGCAGATGATGTGGCTACACTCGAGACAGTGATTTCAACTTTGACTTTACCCACTCCAGTCACTGATCTGTAAGTCTCATTGCTGCACAGTTATACATTGCTGCACATAATATGGTAGGTGTCAGTTCAGCTCTGAAGAAAACACAAGCTGTGATGAATCTCAAATCCTATCTGTGACTAATGAAAGTGGTATGGCCTTAAAGTACTACACATAAGAGCCATTGAAACACATGTATTAATCCTCAGATTCTGCCATTCTTCAATCCATACTCGATGACAGAAACTATGAGATTGCAGATGAGGACCGTGCTGCACTCCACGGTGTGATAAAAATCCTCATCACTGGCGGTAGTGTCTTTGATGTCACTAATAAAGCGACTCGCATTACTCACATGAACAATGGTATTAATAGTTTACTGTGTGTAGGAACTGTTATGATGTATTTTAATGTTGTAGATGCGGATTCTCATGATTGTGAAATTCTTCAATCGGTTTTGGAGGATGGAAATTATGACATTTCAAGTGAAGATTGTGTCTCTCTCTTCAGTTGTGCATCTCTTATTTCTGCCCAAACTAAACACCAGTAACTGACTTGGCGATGGTGGATGTGGACTGAGTCAACCACTAACACAAATTAGTGGCTAATGAAGGGGGAATGACCGCAGTGGAATGAATAGCAGACAAACGGTTTACCTGAGAGGATATCAACAAGAAACTCATGCTAACTTTCACCAGAATAATATTGTTGAAAAAGTAGTATAATAGCACTCGAAGTCACCCCGTTTTTTTTAAAAAGCGCTGATCAATGTGCGCACGCGCATTCAACCTCGAGTACGCGGCGCAGGCAAGACCACACGATAGCCAGTCTTCCAAGTTCAGTTCAATTGAGATGCCTCGGATAATTCTGGGAGTGCTATTGATCGCTGGCGTGCAGCTCGTCTCGAGCATTTGCTGCGATCATGTATTCGAATATGTATGTGTGGCCGAGGGTCTAAAAATTGGAGCCTTCAACGCCGAGATTCTCGGAGCTACGAAGACTAGCGCAACGCTTCCGTACTCGACGTGCTCGCGCAAGTGAGATTTTCTCCTAACATTATGCAACTATTTCTTTCCAGATTATAAGGCTCTACGATGCGGCATGGATGAGGTGGTGGACAAGGATAGTGCCCCAGTCCAAACTGTTACTCTGGCATCAGCAAATGTTGAGGGGAAACGGTGGTACCAACACTTTTAGCGGAAGTGAACGGGTCAGAAGCTATCCGACTTTCTTCATGACACTAGTCCCACATTTTATTCTCCACGACACAGGCAAGCCCATCAGTATGAAGTTGTAGTGAGCGGAAACCTTGGACAGACTAGGAATCAGGAAATATAGGCCTACTTTTACAGGTATGTAACACTGGAAATTATATTAAACTCATGGAACTTGTACTTGGTGCATAAGGACTGAAACAGTTGAAGTATGCGGCACGTACCAGTTTGATGATCCAGATGATGAGTTTGAGCGAGAGCCTTTCAGCATCTGCATCTGCTGCAACCAAACCAATGAGTCAGAAACAGAAACGTTTGCACTGGTGTTGGGCATAGAGTAGCATATTATTGCTCTCAACTCTCCTATTAGCTACAGAGCCATGGAAGTTCTTTCTCCTGGGAGTGTACGTAAAGCCATCTGATGCCTGCAGCGAGCTGGGTGCACTTGCAAAAGCTTACAGAGCCACTTCTGAAGCTCTTGACTGTTGCAGTGGCTTTATACTGGGGGACCTTAAGGCAGACTGCACGTAAGAGCTATGGCACAGCAACATTACTGTGACAATCTCTTCCATTAGGCATTTGATTGGATGTGGTTTCGAAGACCTCGAGATAGTAAAATATCCCTCGCCCTCTTGCCTGATAGACTTCTCAGTAGATACCACCACAACACCTACATACTGCGCATACGCAGGTAAGCACAAGGCTAAATTAAGTCTGAAACATTCCACAGAGTTGTTCTTCATTTTTAGAATCATTGCAGTAGATGACACTAGACACCATGTTGTTCCGAATTCAGCAGGGGTGTACAGGTTTGGCAAGGACTTGTCTCTCTCTCTCCAGAACTAGTCAGTTTACAGTGAAACATCATAATAAGAAAAGTCAAGTCAGTTTACAGTATATAAAACATCGCAAGAAAGGGACCCTCAGAGTAAGGAGCACCTTTCTTTAACTTTGGACGCCATGGGTATCTCCTTAAAAAGCAGAAATTGATGAATAACATATTACGCCTAGTATTATACCCATAAATAAATTCTTATGGACTTATAGAGGTTCTGGGCATATGGCCGTGGCTGGCTAAGGGTTAAAAGACACCTGGTTTTGCCCCATACTAATACATTTGGTGCATTATAACTCTGCTCAATAAGGACACCAGCTCTGAAAATTGAATGTCCCTGTGGTGTCCCTTATTCGGAGGTTTTACTCTGCATAGCCTTTCATTGTGTGATTACGATGGCTAGCTACTCAGGTGGAAGATGTCAGTGACCACTACCCAGTAGAAGTAATGATCAACAAAAATGGTAGCTATACACGCCTTTTTACAGTTAGCAATCATAGTAAGCTGCACTTTAAACCCCACAGCCAGATGCCTGAAGACCATCATCATAATAGTTGTACTATCGACACACCACCAGGCTCACTCCAAAGGCCCACACAATCTGACGATAACCATAGACAATGAAAATAGAACCTTCACATTGGAAGAAAAAGCAAAGGATAAATATTTGCCCAACCAACTGGGAATTCGACCTGAAAGAAGATTTTGTGTCACAGAATGCTGCCTCCAACCCACCGATATCCAGAACATTTTCATAGTCCCGTGCTCAACTGATGCCTGGAGCCTAACATCCGTCATTATTATAGCAATAGACTGCCTCGGTGATTGTACACTCATCACTTGCGATATTGACATTGATTTTGCCGTGGACTTAGACAACAGAGGAGGTGGGGAAACTCTGAAACTGACTCTCGCGAAAAACTGACTCTACTACTTTGTGTAGATACATTATAGATAGTGGTTTACTGTTAAAAACTTTTTTCTTGTAAAAAATTTCCAAAACCCTTGGCACAGATGCTCTGAACTATGCATGAAGATATATACCATGTGATGCCACGAGAAAAAGATGGGGAGCTCTGGACAGCTGTTTCGGGCTTGTTGGCCCTCATCAGCAGAGCATACCGCAACTTCTCTCTCTGGCATCACGAGTTTAAAGGCTACCAGGGGCGCAGCACTTGTGGTTTGAACTAATGAGATTCATCCCCACAAGGCATTGCTCAGGCTACCAGGAGCAATGTTACCATGTGCATGTACAATGTGCGATAATAATTGATGGGCTGGGCCATGCCACATGGTAGCGAACAATGCTGGTTTCTCACTCTAACTCGGCCGAGGGTAATAAGCAGGAGTGTTGGACGTTGCATTGTAGGTTATGAAGAGTGGATGTCGAATCAGCCACAGACCATGCACAACAAACGGTGGAGCCAACAGTACATGCACATGAGTAGTGGTATCTCGGTTTATAGCTACGTACCACCACTACCCCAGTACCATCCCTCAGTTTGTCATAAATCATGTATAATATAGATGAATTGTGGAACACACCAGTCTAATGGAAGAGGACTTGGTCAAACCGTTTATCATACAGCTTTATGATGTTTAGTTTGCAAAAACGTAAAACAAAGCTGTTCATAGAGGAGCACTCACACATCCAATATTCTCAGAATCACAGGGATCACCCCACATTATTTTAGGACAACAGATGTTGAAGATACACAGCTGTGTTTTACGGCCTGACCTGATGATTGGCAAGAACCAGCTGTAATATCTAAAACAAATGCCACACATTCTTTGCGAGTGAGCGCAAGCAGTTCTATCACTACAACGTTACAGTAGTGCAGTGCCCGTCACATACAAATAAAAAATAGAAAATTCCCGCATTGAAAAGAATAGGTAGGTTCGCGTCGCTTGCCAATTCTTATTTTTTTATAAGAGGGAAAGTTTCCCAATCCATGGTACAGGTTGCAGCCCCCAAGCTAATTGCCGATTGAAGTATTACTGTCATTGTTCAAGCTCTGCTTGCTTTTTGAGCTTTCATCAATATCAATAATTAAGCTTGTCCGTTAACTAAGGTTAACTGCACTGGATTTCAGGTTACAGTTATAAAAACGTGTTGTGCGACTCTGCAATTGTTTTCTCTCATCAATACTGTCACCTACTGAAGTCAAAAATCCCTTTAAGAGCACACCCTCTTCTACAATATCCTCTATGCTTCATAATATGAAAAATGGTCCTACCTCTTTATGGACGTCGGATGCTCATACGTCTAAAAAACACCTGATTTATTGGCTGGGTTTCTAGATGTATGAGCATCCGATGTCCACCAATAAATCAGGTGCACCTAATTTATTGGATGTTTCAGTTAAAGATACACAGCTGTGTTTTATGTTATGTCCCCAGATCTGACGATTGGCAAGAACCAGCCGTCTTGTTTTGACAAGGGAAATGTTCCCAACGATAGGGCGCCATGGTAACCAGTTGTAGCCCCAAGTCAATTGCTTTATATAGCCAAGCATACTTATGCTGTATGTTTAATCTCTCTTGGTTGACATTCAGATATTGAGAGTTTACATCTGTCTATTCATACAACACCAAATGTGTAACTGTTATATAGCTACTGTATTTTCTGAAGTATAAGTTGCAGATTAAAAATTGCACCCATGTCTACAATTGCACTCAGATTAGTAAAACTGAACATTGCTTGATGCGTGTGTGTACATGCTGACAAAGGCCAGGGGTATATACATTGTTGATCGTGGTTTAATTGCAACTATGTATACAAACGAACATAAAAATGTTTTTTTCCCGGATTTTTGGACATCCACATACAATATACACACGCAATTTTGTTGTGCACACTCTATGGGGGTTGGTTTGACAATTTGTTCACATATGTAGCTGACATTCCAGAACATGGAACACAACAGGTTTTAGGTTTTACTTATACCTTGTGCAACAACGAAATAGGTATGTATTTCTATGTATGGTATACTCAGTGTAAATAAAACACCTTTTAGGTATCCACGTATCAAAGTGAAAAATGCAGTGCTACGCTATAGAATAGGTAAACAAACTGTTTACATTACAGATAAGCCCTGTATAATTTGTTTAAAAAATACAGCTGAGAACAGGCGCAGACAGGTGGAAAAATGTTGAGATACAAAGCCAGAGATGTTTACATATGGGTATGTATGTATGTGTGTATGTATGTAGATGGTAGAGAGATTGCCCATGTAAAAACCCTCATGAATGCAGGTCTTTAGAATCCCTGGGAGGTGGCCTTGGGGGCAAGCTTTTGCTGGGGGAAAAATAGGAGAAATTCATGCTGGAAGTTTATTAGTTAAAACTCTCTTGATACCAAGTGTTGGTGTCAGTTACGTGTAATGCATTGTACGCAAGAGTTCGAATCCTGCCTGGTGAGCTTTTTATTTTCTTTGATGAGAACATGAACTTATACGAATATGATTTATAAGCAGAAGAAATTGCCATGGGGACACAACAGCCAAACTGATACAGTCCCAAACCTTCAGTCAGCAAAACCAACACACATGGAGGCACATAACCACAAACATTACATAGGCGCCCATAGCACCTTGGAATGCAATTTAGGTAACTTGAGGTTTTCCCCCTTGATGTGTATAATATTACGTATTATACATACTGCAACTAACTTTGGTTTAGGTTTTGGGGGCACCGTGGAGGATTTTGCTTAGACGATGGTCGCAGAGATTTAGGTGAACTAGTTGCTCTTGCCGGCAGAGCGACTGAATGGGCTCTCGCCTGCATCACGCTCACCATCGACACGTAGGGATCGTACATACTGTCTTCACACGAATCGTCCATTTTGTCACTGGGAGAAGGGGAATTCACCAGCCCAGCTCTGTTGGGGATCGTAGCCGATCGTAACTTGTCCCTCGAGGGAATGTCACCTTGAACTGAGAGCGAGTTCTTGGCCCCAGGAGGCAGGGTGGAGCTCCCACTCAGCTCAGTGCTACTGTGAGAGGCTCCAACGCTATTCTCTCTCTCTCGCTCTATTATCACCGGCAGACGTTTGGCAGACAGAATCGGAGAAGAAGTGAGGGGACGAGAAACTGGATTGCGAGGCGGCAACTTGGGCGGAGAGTCAGTCAACTCTTGAGGTGGTGGTTTCTGGGCTTCCTACGGGTTTCGGTTGTCTCACCTTTGAAATGCTCCAGTGTCTAATGCTCTCGTATATCTCTGAGTCTTCGTCGCGAGAGTGCAGTTTCTTCATTTTGCTCTCAATGGGAGAGAGGACGGAAGCTGCCGACCAGGTATTTGTACGGAACGCTGGATTCGTATAAACATCGGCATACTCTCTGGCAGGTACCGTGTAGTAGGAAGACTCTTGCGGTCGCATGTATGCAAAAAAACGGCCGCTCGCACTTGCTCTCCATGTCACTGACTCTGCTCTCGCACATACCCTCCAGCATGACTGCATACAGATCCTCTCTGTTAGGCTCGGGGGGACCTTTCGCTGCAGAGTGGTGGTCTTCCCCCACAATTGTACCGGTGTGACTCAGCGTCGGCAGTTGCTTGACAAGACCTTCGCCACAGCTCAAAACGTACACCCGCTCATCGTAAGGGGTCTGGACGCCTGTCATGCTACTAAGGAGTTGCTCTCCATCCCTTTCAATGGACGACGGCCCCATGTACGAAGGATGGAGCAGTAACAACTGCCGGACTTCTCCTTCATGCAGCTTGAAGTGTGTTAGCAGCTGGGGTTGCTGCGGTGCAGACTTTGAGGTACCTGTGATGGTACTGAATATCAGTACGTGGCCAGTGTTGAGTCCTATCCACACCGTGTCCACGACCACACGCATCGTGACCACCCAAACGTCCTCGCTCTTCATCTCCAGGACTCTAGAGCACTCGATGGTGAACTGATAAGTGCCGAGTCCGCCTTCTCCCCTCGACCTGTCGAGTCGTCTGAAGAGATCCATATGGTATCGTCGTCGTCGGTGAATTGCGTCATTGCCAGGTTTCGAATCTCGACGTCGGATGCGATGGGCCACTTTGTCTCGGTGTGTAAAGGAGGTCGGGATGGAGTTTGTAGATTGTGTCCTTTGTGGCACACACCACGCAGTCCTCTAGAGCTTCGATGACCTTGAAATCTTGTCCTGGGAAACAATCTTTGTCAGGAAGGGCTCTGCCGGGACGACGTCACTGGAAACATTGTATGACCTGTAACACGCCGTTGTCAAGGCCCAGGTACACTGCGTGGGGCTAACAGCCATTGCAACCACGTGCTGCTTGAAGACAAACTCGCTCTTGTACTTGAGGTCGGCAGTGAAATAGACGAGTACTTTTCTTCCATAGATGCTCACCCACAGCTGGTTCCCGATGCAGCACATGCAGATAATGAGGACAGATGGAACCCTTGCAGTTCGGTGGAGCGTCAAGCCGGGTATGGGAGAAGTGGAAAAGAGTTGCTCTTCGCCTCCCTCCAGTGCACCGCTGCAGAGAAAGACGTCCGAGTTGATTCTCGTGCGTCGTCCGCACAAAGTTTGCAGCACCGGTGAAAAAACTGTTGTTTCTGCTGATGCAGCGGCAAGCCTTGTCCAGCACGCCGACCGGATCTTTAAAGAACTGGGCGACGTCGCTGGCAAATGGTCGCACCGTCAGGTCCGCGTTCCACACACGGCTGATTACCCCGGCAAAGTACGGGAGGCGGGTCATGATGGAGCCAGGCTTGGCCTCACCGGATGAAACAGAACCTTCAAAAGGGACACTCGCGAGTTGACGTGAATCCTGTGCCTCGTGATGATTTCGTAGGGACACGAAAGCAAACGCAAATAGGTCGGACTCTCTCATCGTAGTCTTGGCTGACCTCCTCTGACATTCCGGTGCAGGGAAAGTCCCGTGGTACCCCTTGCTGACTCCCTGGAACATGGTGTGGCAGGCTTCGGAGAAACCGGCAGCTTGATGTTGACTGCCTCGTGGGAGACAGTGAGTTGACCAGGATGTTGGCTAGACACACGTGGCGATGGATCATGTGCTGGGAGTGGATGGCAAGCAGTGCCGAGGCCAGCTGGTGGACCATGCGGACACGCACCAAGAGCTGGATGTATATCTCCTTGTCCTGGAGCACGTCTTCCAAAGAGCTCCCACCGTGCAAAGGGGAAGACCAAGCAGAGAGGACTCTCGCATACCCCCAGGTAGGTTCACCGAGAAGGGACACCCGCTGGATTGTACCGTCTGAATGGCCTGGTATTCCTGCCACATCTCCATTAGCGCCAACGTTTTGGACGACGCAGGCGTCGGTATTTGTATTGGCTTTATGGGGACCGGGTGAGGGTACACTTGACAGCGACAAGAGGACCCGGTTAACTTTCACCTTGAAGACCGTTCTCGGAGTTAAGAGGGCTGAGGCACGTGGACTTGTCACTAGGTTGAACACCACTTTCCCCGGCGGGATGAAGAAATCTTTGCTCACTTGTGCTGAAACGAGATCCCGGGATCAGTTTCGCAATGGAGACGACTTTTCTCCGGGTGGTTGGTGCATTTGACCCGACAGACACCCTTGACACGGCCTGGAGAGAGCATCATGAACGACACGGACGGTATCTCGGGGGTCCTGTGGTGGATGCAGTAGCTGCAGGGGATCCAGATCTCCACGGTCCTCCAGAGAGTGGGGTACCAGTTTCGCAAGAGGCTCTCGATGGTGAAGGTGAGCGTCTGCATAATGTGCGATCCCTTGGGTGTGTTTGGGAGCACGGATCTCCAATCCCTCCATGACGCTCCGTACTGGCTTTGATAGCTTCGATGCAAAACAGGCAGGCCGTGCCGTTCTGTGAGCAAATCATGCCAGTGGCCCAGTGACGACCAGTCTAGACCGCGGCTGCCCCGATCCCGTTTCGAGGGCTGCCTCTCGGGGTAGTTCTCGAGTTGATGACAAGATGAGTGATGAGACGTCCCCAGAAGGTTACGGGGTGAGTGCAAACGTGTGTACTGCTTCCTGATGCAAATGGTGAGAAGAAGGAGGGGACGGTGGCGTCTGGCTTTGCGTCCAGCATGCGGGGACGAGCCACTGGGTACTTGCTGAGGCAATGGCTATGCTGTGGTGGTTGACAAATCCACGAGTGCATCTGGGACCCTTTCTCGGTGAGTGGGGGCAGTCCAGGAGGTCAATGGACCCTCCTGCGCACAATCCCAGGTAGTTCCTGTAGCCCATAGTGTCGCTGGTGTGGGACACCGACGGGACTGAGTACATCGCGATCGCAAACCACTGCCTTCTATGAGAAAGACTCTGCATCTCCTCTGATTTCTGGGGATGTTGAGAACAGTCGCCGCTTCTTCTCCAGAACGCTCACCATGAGCTCGGAGCGTCGGCTTGTTACTGCTGCTGGTCGTTGTGGTGGCATGCTGCAGAGGAGGCGGAAGAAGTCGTACTGTTTTCATCATGAGCGCGTGGCTTCAGCTCGTTGTGTTTGAGCGCTCCTGGCGGCCACGCTCGGCGGTACTGTGGTGCACTCGGAGTAGCTCCGCGGAACAAGTAGAAGTGCGCTCGTCGCTCTTTCTTGCTCCGCGACAATCGCTCTCTACAAATGCAACAAACTGTGCGGACACTGCGAGTGCCGGTGGGAAGTCATTTGCATCTCAGTTCGTCATGGCGTCCAGTAAACGATGACTGAAGCGTGGACTCGGCCGCTGAGAGGTCTTCCAGAGACTCTGTGAAAGTGTCTCTCCACAGCTTTTTCACATCGGGCGGGAGTCGTGACCATTGGCGTCTTCCCGTTCAACATGTGCAGCGGATCGCCACGCACTTGGCTACTCGTAGACGATGGAGAGGTGACCGCAACACGCTCTGTACGAGAGTGACGTTTGGTGTGCTGCGTTAGTAGTCGGCAGTCCCCACAACCAGTAGCTGGTGTTCTCCAGCGCAAACACATTATGGAGTACAAAACACTGGACTCGCCGAGCTACAAGTAGTGCAAGATGTACAGGGGAGTTTTGAGGCCGGCGACACTCATATAAGTCGGAGTTGGTCGACGACTTTTTCGCTGATGGGTGACCCCACGATCTGCAGCTCGAAATGAGGGATTGCTGCATCGACTCGAAGCGCTTTCGGGAGGAAATTAGCGGCTGGCACTCCTGGCGTGGCGAAGGTTTAGGGAGGTAGGGAATCCTCCAGTTAGGCCTGCATGTACCGCAGGTCCCGATGCCGTAGGGAATGTGACTGATCTCGATATTGTGGCTCAGGTTGAGGACTGGAGCTGGGGCATGCACATACACACTCTGGGACTGTGGGAGAACCTTGCTGATGTCCAATGGCGATGACCCGACTCAAAGTAGGCCGGGAGACTAGAGAGTTTATTGTGGGAGAGATTGATGTCTGTCAGAACCAGGGAGAGCTTTCCCAGGAGGGCTTCTGGGAGGGACGAGATGGAGTTGAAAGACGAGGCAAGGGCCTCTAGACACGGAAGCTCCTGATTCTGACGGGGACGAAAGTGAGCTGATTCGTGACTCCACTGGAGCTTCATCAGTTCTTGAACTGCGTTAGCTCGTCGGGATCTGCTTTAGCTTGTGAACGAGAAGGAGGAGATGAAGTTGAGGTTGGGGTGGGGTACTCTATTGCTCAGGTATCCAGGCACCGGAGGAGGGAATGGATTCCAGATCCAGGCCGTGCAATCACGATGACCCGAGCTGGGGTGCTTGGAAAATCGCATGGAGAATATTTCCACTGCGAGGACGTTGTTGGCTTTAGAGCACCCTGATGGTGTCTTGCTGTAGCAACACGGCAGCGTTACCGTCTGTCCAGGAGAGGCATCATGACCTGCGGTACGCTTGGCTATCTCGGGCAAGAGCGAGCTGTTCATGATCTCTCTTCGCTTCGTGTCGAGCAAGAGCTGGTGCGGATGGTCCTCCTGTCGTCTTCGTGGCAGTCTTGGCAGAGCACGGAGGTATAGGCCAGGAGGTGATTCAGCCGGGGACCTTTCTCGATGCCATCGGCAAGCTGTTGCCCCCGCATCTACCAGTAGAGGACTATCTTATAGTTACCCGTTATTCTGCCTCAACTAGTGAGGCATTGAGTGTCTCCTGCTGTATTGTTTTTGACGCTGTCGGTGAGTTGGCTTGTCTCGGTGAGTTGGGATAGGGACCTGCCCAGGAAGGAAGATAATGTTGTGTATACAATAATCAGTGCTATATACACCCTAAATGGTAATCATGCTTCACCTCTTCACTTTCATATAACAAACACACACACACACACATAAAAACATACACTTACACTACCTAAACCTAGTACAGTGTACTTACATATGCAATGTATACACACACCCATGCACTATACCACACTGCTACATTCTTTGAACATAAGCAAGCAGGAGTCAGGAGGGCGTACATGTATGTACTTGTAGGACAAATAACGGAGGTGTTACCTTTGCAGCTTGGCAAAAATCAGAACGACACGTAAACAGTATTTTATTTACTCAAGAGCTCTGCACGTACCTCTGTGAGCTTATCTAGCGTTCCTCTCTTGCTGCTTTCTGCATTTCTGAGAAAGTGCAATGTCACATTTCAGTACAGAGCTGTTAGGACACGCCACATATGGCTATGACCTGTCTCAAAGACCTCTGTATTATTATTTGTTCATTTACCAGTGAGAGTGATGACTCGGAAAACCTGTCGCTTCCCGTTTTCCTCGGCCACGTCCCTTGCAGTTCTCCACCGTCGATCCACGGCCCCAACCGTCGCTCCGCAGTTGATTAGGGCCGCCACGACATCTACGTGGCCCCTCTCTGCTGCGAGGTGGAGTGCGGTGGACGCCGGACCATGCTGGGACCTGGCGTCCATATCGATGGATTCCTGGCACTCCTCCTTGAGAAGTCTAACTACATCGTCTCGTCCGGCCATAGCTGCTTCGTGCAGCGGCGTACAACCGTTCTCCCCGGCCACCTGGTTTATCACGTTGGACATGATGGCCTCGTTCAGGTAGCTCTTGATGGCCGACAAGTCCCCGTTTCGACAGAGACGATGGAGTTCGCTCATCACATTGGCCCTTGACAGGTGTCGTGACCGTCTGGTTAATGGAGCCACGTTTAATTGCTCCTGATCCATTCCACTACTGTGCTTGATGGTCGCGTCTGTATAAAAAAATCACTGAATTTAGCACCATAATGTGTAAGTTGTCTGTACAATCGTATAAAGGTCGCAGGCATCACACTGTCGTAGATACAACTGGCAAACCTGGCATGCTATACTAACATCATGCATTGAAGCCAAAATGTCTTTCCCAATACAGAGCAGCACAGTATGTACTGAAAGCACGTCAAGTGTTCTCTCTCTTTGTCAGTTTCATACGACGTGTACATCACACGACGACAAAGACAGTCGCCACAGTATCTAAGGCTCCGTAACATGACAGGAACAATAGGACTCTGTAGTGTACACTTGTTCGCGACAACTTCACAGCCACACAAGCGCTGTTTTGGTTCAGTTACGGGAACATGTTTTGATAAGGATTATACCGTACACGAATGTGTGCAAAATTTCAGTAAAACTGTACACAACCTGTTCTAAAGTAAACTATTGCAAGCGCAACATGTTCCACGGACTTGTATATACACCTTAAGTTGCAAAGTTTCACCATGTATGTAGCCCTAAGAATTGATATGGAGCACATAGAATCTATCAATAAAAGGTCAGTGATTTCATAGACTTGTACTGATTGTGCATGAAAGCCTCTGAGAAGCTAAAAGTGTGCTGAGTGCACCACATATACAGTACTCAGTAGTGTAAGTTACTAAGCAGCAGAAGTCTCATACAGCGGGCAAACAATTGCTAGTAGCAGTTCAAACATGTCATTCACCTAAGAACTCCCAGTTGCTTTGTCATACAAGGCCAGCATATCTTTTACACATGCAAGTCTCATGCTCTGTCCCAGTATGGCAAAAAACACTACACTGATGCACTTGTGAGCATTGTCATGAATTTGAATATCAGTGCAATTAGATGAGCTACTCTGCTCACTTTTTCTCACTGGCAGTATCTATGTATTTCATGCACGGCACCAGGCAATGGTATAGAAGCACCCAGTACAAAAAGCTGTAACAAAAGATAGACATGGACACTCTACACTATTTATTCTCAATGCCAACTGTTACAGTTTATAAGGGTACCACAACAGTTAAACCATGCAACTATAATTTAGCAATAGCACATAACCTTGAGACACAGTCACATAGTCACAGAGACAACCACCCACACACCTAGGTTGTATTCCGTATCCAAGGTCGCGTTTCACGCTAGTATCACCTCCTCTAGATTTAGAGTTGCAGCTTCACTTATCAAGAGGTACAGGGCAGGTCTGTTCGCTCTCGTCCTCTCGATCCCAGCCAGCGCCGTCACAGCCAGAGCTTTGCTAGCTCAGCCTTGATGACGTCATCGTATAAAGCCGTGACGTCATTAGCAGCGGGAAATTTCATTTTTGCAGCTGGCGCTTGGTGTAGCGCGCGGTGCAAAAGTCAGTGAAGTCTCTGCAGCACAGCAGCTCTGTTTATTCCTGCAGGTCCCGCTATTCAAGGTATTTGTTGAAACTCCGCGGCCTGCGTTCTTGACCTCTTCTACCGACGCAAACTCTGTCCGTCTGGTGAGTAAAACGGCGTGTTCTATATAGTGCGCACCAACAGCATGGTACAGGTTCTTCCGTATTGAATGCAACCAGTACTCTGGGTTATTGGGTGCTTCTTTTGTGTGTGGCTGAGGTGTGTGGATAAGCAGAGTGAGTCAGGTCTAGCTAAGCATTATTGCAAGTGTGTATTAGTAGCTCAGTATGGTTTTAGGGGGTGTGTAATCATAGTATCACTGATAGAGTAGGGTGGGTGAAACTGCACGCTTCATTGCCATACATGTAGCCTGTGTATTCAGACTGTAGGACTGCATTGGAGGGAGGAAGGCAACAAAAGTTTCCTCCAACTTCTAAGTCCAAATCCCCCTTCCTTTGCATACCAGGGGTATATTGTATAGAGGGTGAGGTGTACTGTGGAGTCCATGGCAGAACAGGAGGCCAACGGTGGCCTAGGAAGACCACTGCCTCACTTTAACCCTGCAAGTATCACTCCAACCAAACAGGTAATGTGTCTTTCCTTGTGTCCTGTTGTGCCATGGGTAGCATTAGGATGCCTGTGCTTGTTAGTATTATGTACGACACTGCATTTTGATATGTGCAAATCATCTATGCTCTTCTGCACATGCTGTTTTTATTTCTGCTGAGCTCGCCAGTGTGCATAATTATTATATAGCATTGGACGAGATTTTCAATACAATTTACTCTCAGTTGAAGTAAAACCCCCAGCTCTATATTTGGGAGCAAAAGGAAAACTAGTGCAATTTGTGTGCCATGGAGTGATGCAGAATAACAAGGAAGAAAATGTTTATAGTGTGAAAAGAGAACCATGTGTGCCCCCCCACCCCCCCCCACCACCCCCCCCACACACACACAATTATAAAGACAGATTATAGGAAACTTGATGCTACGCCTTAAGAACTATGTGCCTCCCTTATATATATATATATACCCCTCAGCACCCCTCCCCCCATCCATAAATGAACCCCTTGTAATTACGTGATGATATGACTGCTGCTATAGGATGAGGTGCTGTACTCTGATGATGACGACGGCGGGTCAGGAGGTGGGCGTCGCCACGCGTCCGCCTCTGTCTCCAAGACGTCGTTCTCGGCTGATACTCCGGCCAGTCAGAAGAGAGCCATTCAGAGTCTCAAACAGTCCCTCACTTTCTCCGACAACAGCGTGAGTGGCTCACGTATTAAACATCAGCTCACGCTATGTAGAGAAAGAAAGAAGAAAACAGATGAGATAGAAAAGGGGACGACATGGGTATAGGGCTTAAATAAGACCACACGAGATGGTACAATATAATTGGTGAGAGAGCAAGCCCTCCTAGTCGTCTGAATGAAGAATTTTTCTACGTATGTACGGGCACTCTGCCATATATTTACCGTAATGTTATACAGAGATTCTAAAATTATGCAGGAAACATGCAAACAATTGAACTTGCTGTGCTATAGCATGCTGTATATACCAGACTGCATAGTGCGGTCCAAAATATACAGGTTTTTAAAGCAGATGAGCAAGGTGACTGCGCATTTCGGAGGGTTTTTTGTGAAGATTGAGTCTTGAAAGACAAAAGTGGAGAATATTGATGAGCTGCATTTTTGTTCTGATATGATACTGAGAGGTTTACTTCCTCTACTAGTGAGCAGTTTGAATTGCATAAGATTATGACACACAAACTATGTATGTATGATGTTTTGCCAATATGACCATATCATTTGCAATATGGACATGTAGCATGACAAGACACCTTATTCCACTATTCCTGCACTCATATGCAATGGATGTATATAGCTTGTCAGAACCATAGCCTTATTTTGGTCATATGTTCAGCTCCCATAGTTCAGCTGCTGCTTCTAGGAAATGTTTCCATTGATGCATTTAGTGATTTGTTGAGGTTAAACATTCCCTGTATCTTAGTAATACAGTAGAACCTCGCTAATCCAAGCCTCGAGATCGCTAAATCAGCCAATGTTTCGATCATTACTTATGCATGTATGTTTCTCAAAATGAAGCCAGCTCACTAAGCGAGCCACTTTTGCTGGCCCCTGAATGTGGGTGTAATAGCAAGGTTCACTGTACTTGACTTACACAGAATATGTATGTTTCCCTATAGTGGGCCATAGTCACATGACCTGTAACAAGACACTGTAACGAGACACCTTGGTCTATAATAGCTCGTACTTACTACGTACAATGGTGGACCATAGCTTGTCACAGGACTATAGCCTCAATATGTTCAGTCCCACAGTTCAGCTGCCTCGACACCTCAAAAGACTGGTGCGAGGCAATCAGGCCAGGGATCTACCCACTCATTACAGAGCTCTACCCAATCGGCACCTCCGACCTTTGGCATTGGACGACCGGCCGCTGTCCGAGAGTCTGAGCCTGTGGACGAGGGAGATGGGGTCAGAGTACATATCCGAGGGTGATTCCTGCAGAGGTAGTCAAATCAAATGTATGAGGGAGAAAATGTTTAGTCCATTTTACTGTGAGAACCAGCCATTTTCTACTTTGATCCTTGGTTTCATACCAGTTTTTTTCCGTGATTAAACCACTGAATCACTGTATCATGTGCAGCCTGTTCTATTTTCCTGAAGATTGCCTTAGAACTTTAAAGGGAATGTGAAGACTGGAATGTGGCAGTATAATTATAAGGGCTAAATTTAGATACTGTTATATACTGCATTTTTTCACTGGGCCCTTTTGTTTAGTAAATTTAACCCTTATGTTCTGACATATTCCCTTTAATTTGTCTCACTCATAAGGGGTCCCTCTCTGATTACATGACAGGGTATTTTCTGCAAGTACAGCACAATTTGCCTACACCCCCACCCCCACCCCCGGATTAAAGTATCGATAAACCCTGCACTTTGGTCGTATAATTACCTTGAAACGTGTATATACACTTGTTTTAGGGGCTCTGACATCCATCAAGAGTCCGATACAGAAAATGAACGAGTTGTTTGGGGAGTTTGTCTCTCTCTTGTGTACATCTTTCCATTGCTATAAGCTCTTCCAAGGTGTTTGTTTTTTCATGTGTGCATCAATATCCGTTTTTTCCCGCTACGTGTATGAACATTGTTTTGCAGATAAGTATCACTGCCATCATGTCGAAATTGGAGCAAGTCAAGGTACTATATACGTACGTACATATGCAAAGCCCCGTGTTTAACACTGAGTCAGATTTAGAAATTCAAACAATTGTTAAACGTTTTTTGTGTGGCAGTGTAGCTGCATCACAGCTGTGGTTCTTAGCAGTGAACATTGGTATTTGTATATCCAGAGCTACTTGCAAGAGGCTCAAGCTCTGCATCAGCAGATGAAGGAAAGGCTCTCAGAGGTACATACATATGCAGCATTCACTGCTGTGTTATGCTCTTTAGTAGGTGGCTTAAAAGCATTTGTACTTTAAATGACAAATTTGAAGCCATTCTGTCTGTGTGTCTATTGAGAATAGCTGGAGAGTGCATTGTAAATATCACGTAAACAAAAATGTTTTTTGAAGTAAGAGCATCGGCATCAATAATTGCTGGAGAAGATCCACAAACCAAGAGTAACTGTGGGATGGACTCATGTGTATAGTAACTGCTACTGTCGTTGTGCAGCCAGGGATGGCTGTGCAGGTGAACAAGATGGGGAGACTGGGTAGAGGACTTGAGGAGACAGGAGTCTGGCTACCTCAGCATCCTCGTCAAACTACTCGTGAGTCAACCACGCCTTCTCTGGGTGATATCCATGTTCCGGTTCATAGGCAATGGAGTATTGTTCTTCCAGTTTGATTCGACACCCTTCAGCTCCTTTATATGTGTGTAGTTTGCATATAAGGGACCTGAAAATCGTTGAACTGTCTGATTTTGTAGAGTATATAGTTACAGCTATGTACGTTCTCATTGCTTTCTAGGACCAGCAGAAAGGCGGGCCACTAGCCAACTCTTCTCAAGAGAGAACAGCTGAAAACTGATGGTACATGCACGTGCTAGCTATCTGTGTATATACATAGTACACCAATACATATGTCTTTATGTGTGTCTATAACCTCTCTCAATGAAGTCTGCATTTGCATAGATACACAATCGTTTCATGTGCACCAAACCTATAATAGTACTATATATAGATAGTAGTAGTAATTGTTCCCTCCTCTGTGTGGTCGAAGACTCGAGAGAGGTACTGTCTGATGGAGAGGTATCTGGAGAGCTAGCGGATGAGGTTGGGGGAGAGAAGAGAGATGACAGTATGAGTCTGAAGGCAGAGCTACTCAAAGGTGTTTACAGCATATCCTGTAATGTTAATTTCGTGCTTTAGTATTTGACCACTGGGTCAAGGGACACTCCATAGATCCTTAGCTCTGCATGCAATGATTTTCCTAGCACATGATAAGGATCGAGCCACACATTTGATACGCTGTAAATCACACGACAAAGTTGGATCATGTATCCTGGCCTTTAACTAGACACGGGACACTCATAGACCATAGAAGAGCTGCACAAGCTTTTCACTGCGACAGTAATTTTGTATCAAAACAGTGAGAAGAATATCAGCGGCATAAACAAACTGAATCACACATAACAAAATGGGGACGTTATCATAATATTCTAGCAAAGTTGTCTGTTAGAGTGATGTTAGAGTTGGTGCGTTGTTCCAGGAGAGGATGGAGACTCAGCGTGAGGAGAAAGAGAAGCAGGAGCTGAGGATGTTGAGAGAGCAGAGAGACCTCCTTACAAAAACTAGTAGAGCAGCAGAAGCAGGTCAACAACAAACCATGTGTGCGTTTACACATGGCAGCTGTATACACGCATACAATCAGTCCCCAACTGATTAAAGTGACTTCAGTGGTGGTCGGTAAACAGTCCCTTCACAAGTCTCATACAGCTATGCACATACAAGACATTTTTTTATCTGCACCTGGTATGTGGATATTTGCTCCTTAATATGTCATTATTTTAAACATTTTTCACTCAAGTATTGGGTGTGGTCTGATGGATAAAGACTCACACTCTAGATCGTGAGGTCCACGGTTCGATCCCGGGTCTCGTGGGTTTTTTTAAATAATGATGTAATGTGAGTGTTGATATAAGAGGAACGTTTTTTCATCAGCTCTCGTGGCCAGCCCAAGTGGCTAAGTGGTTAGAGACGTGGGGACTGTCACATAAGGTGCCCGGTTCGAATACTGGACCCGCACTGAAATGACAGGTGGTCCAGAGCATTGGCTCTGGTTCCTCCCCTTACCCATGAATCTACCACTGACCCATGTTTCTCAAAGGGCAGTGTATAGTTCGGCATAGCACTGCGTCCGTAGACGTCTGCCTGGAGAGATGGAGGGCTGGCCCATTATGTTTTTATTTTTTTCAACCTTAGAGTTTATTTTTTGGCCTAAAACAAACCATTGATAAGTTGAATTAGTGCATAACATTCAGATATAATTTTTTTGCGTCCCCAGTATCGTTTTTTGCGTGTATTTTGTAATGCATGGCCAGTAATTTTTATATGCATGTGCATGTTGGCTTTTTCCCTTGTCTCCACAGCTTTTGAATGCAGTGTTTTTAATGTGAGTCTCCAATTTTTAAATGAAGCACTGAATATGTTGTTTGGCGGCAGAAATAAGTAGACTCACTCACACTTTCAGGTGCTCTAATTAACCCCAAGGCGGCCAAGAAACAATACCAGCGGCTTAAATGTACACATGCTTATCTCAACATGATCCACTTGCTCTACTAACTTGGAACCACAATAAGTCACAACAAAGGGCGTGTGGTGTATTGACTCCCGCAAGCTATCTGTTAGTGTAGCCAGCCCGTGTCGGACTCTCCACAAGCTACTTGCAAGAAAGGACCACGCGTAACCCAGCAGCAGTACCATGAATGTGTATATGGATTTGAGTGCCGAGGGTTTGCACTTTATTGCTATTCTAGTATGTGCGTACTCTCTGTGGTTTGTTACAGATAGAGGCGCTGGAGGTAAGACAGAGGAGACTGTTGGATGGCAACACCACTGGTCACCCCTCCAGCTACAACCAAAACTCAGGTCTCACCTCAGCACTTGTTTGATAGTGTGCTCACCCATAAGTGTGTTGTAGATTTGAACCCCTACCTGCTGAGTTGCCCAGCTGGTAGCTTAGCCAGTAGAGAGAGCACTCACCTAGACTGGGTTCAAATGTCACTTAGGCCAGCTCTTGTTTTCCTTGGAAAAAAGAATTGTCATGGGTGTAGCTGTATTGTTAGTAGTATGTGTTGGTAGAGACTGCAGAGTGTCGTGGGTTCAAATCCCATCCAAGGTATCTCTTGTTTACTTGACTTGTCCTGGGTGTAGTTGAGTTGTTTGCCTTTGCCTTGCTTTGACCCACATGCTCATTCATAGGCACCTCCGTCTGAAGCAGGAGTGTTGAGGAATGGAGCAGGCCAAGAGAAGCGGCAGGCCAGAGTCACCACAGAGAATATGGATGATGAGGTCTGTTACTGCAACCCACCACTCACCCACACACGCAACGAATTGCCACACATTTTTTGACGAGTGTGTGTGAGCAAATATTTAGAGTGGGACCACCTGCGCTGCATTCACGTGTGGTAGATATTGATAGTCAGGCAATACAGACAACTGAGTAGTGTGAGAGGTTGAGGAAAATCTTTAATTTCTCCAACTATACTATTGTACTCTCTAGATACGTGTATGTTATTTAATGCACCTGCAACGTTTCTTACTACTACATGACTACATGTGTGCATGTACAGACGACCGAGTCGGCTGTGGTGAGGAGACTGCAGGAGTTGAGAGAGAGACGGGCTAGAGTGGAGCACCTGACTAGCCTCCTCGCACAACTACAGACTGACACTGGTGTGTGATGTATACACTCTTACAGTATATACCTCTCCTATTACTGTATACACCACTGACTGGACGAGGTATAAGTTGGTGTAAGTGACTTTACCAAGTCAGCTTTCAACATTTTTCATATTGATGGTTCCCAAACTTGAAAATAGTGAAGTTCCTACTGCCTATAGCTACTGGCATACACTTTTAATGAATGGGATGTTGGGAATGAATGTGATGTTGATGAATTTCGTACATATGTGTGTAAATAGTTTCTGCCTTTTTACAGAAAACGAGAGGGAGTCACAAGTTCCGACTTCAAGGTGCGTGTTTGTGTGTGTTGCACCATAAACCTTTGATCACATCGTATATATACATACAACAGTGCTGTCGCCGCTGCTGGTAACACTGGTCAACAACCTCTGGTCAGTGTAATAAGAGATTCTTTGTGTACTGCTCAATATACGTACATTATTGTGTGCATGTGTGTGGAGAGTTGGTACAGCCTACCACCCAGTTCTCAAACCTGTAGGCACCTATTAAGGCTCATAATAGTGTGTATTAGTGTGTCGTAACCCGTGATGATTATTACTGGGAGAGTGAAGTTGGTTGCAGCTTTCCTTCTCACGTACAGGGAGGGGCTGGATCTGGTGAGCTAGTGGCAGCAGGGAGTCAAGCAATGCCTGCTGAGCTACTGGAGCTCCACCAGAAACTAAGGTATACACATAGTATGTATGTATTACTGAAATCTAAACCAGTGTGGTCTAAAGATTGTGTGTCTATCACGTGTATGTTGCTATTGCAGGCAGGCACAGGAGGCCAGGGAAAAGCTGGCAGAACTGCAGCAAATGATCAGTCTCTTACAAGAACCTGTACGCTATAGCTCTCTTTCATTCCCCTAGCCCTCCCCCTAGCCCCCCCCTCTCTCTCTCTCTCTCTCTGTCTCTCTTCCTTATCCCTCCCCTACTACTATAAACCCTAGCAGTTTTGCAGAAGCCCATAAAAAGGCCGTGAGCAATTTCCCTTCTAGTTCTTTTTTCTGCTAAGCTATACAGACTCCCATTCGATTTGTTTCAAGTACGGAATAGAGAATTGACAACCTTCGTATAAGTATTCGTATCGGCGTTTATGGTGATTAGTTAATGACTGTGTATTGGTGTAGGATGTTGAAGGAAGTGAGGTGACGCAGGATCCTCCTCTGGTCAGCAGCAGCAGACAGGGTCTCCTGACTAGAGAGAGCCAGTTTGAGCAACAACAACAACAGCAACATCGTGGGGAAGAGGAGGAGGAAGATGAGGAAGATGGACAGACTGAATCTGGAGGTAACAAGGCTCCCGACACACCCAGACAACCTTGTTGTGTGCTTACTTATTACACCTTGACAATTATTGATCCTACGTATTTCAAGATCCTTAGAGAATTTAGTGTCTATTTTGCACAGTATTCAATCTGTAGCAATGCACGCACTCGTTCAGAGTTGATGGCTACAGGAGAGCTGGAGGCGAGTGTGATATCCGAGTACGAGGAGAGACTGGTGAGGCGGAGGAGGGAGGTGAGGGAGCTCCAGGAACAGAGGGACCGACTCCTGACCACTCAGAGGAAACTGCAGCAACTACACCAGAGCATTGCTGACAATGTATGGGCGCACTACATACATTGGTTTTTTCTAGGAATAAAGTATTAGCGCCTAGTATTATAACCCCCATATAAATTCTAATGGACTTATGGAAGCTGTGGACACATTTATGTGTCCATGGCTGGTTAGGGGACGAAAGCCAGAAATGAGCTTGAAGGTGGTGTGCAATCTACAAGCATATACTGTATCGATCCCGTACGATTTTTTTGGAAACATGTCCAAGATGTCTGTGCCTAATTTTTTGCAGGCATCTCTATCACCTACCAATAACACAGCCTCTGGTAATAGGGAACAGTCAGTCAATGCTCCCAGTAGCGGTGAGTAAAAATGAGCTACCAGCTCAATGTCACTGAATTGCAGCACATACAGTACATCATCTTTATTGTGGTACGTCACTCGAGCTGTGCATCATGCGTAACTTGATTGTGTATGGTACTAAGGTATAATGTGTGATGTGTGTGTGTGTGTTGTAGGAGGCGCAGAAGGTGTGTTGTCCTCTGAGGAGCTGGCCACAGAGCTGGGCAGACAGAGGAGACTGTATGATGAACTGCTGGACAAGACGCAGCAGATCCAGTCGGTACGTAACATCTCAACTTTTTGGGTATATCTTTGTATGCGTGTTCATGCATAGTGAATGTACGTATTTTCACTCTCGATCTGTTTTTATTACAGATGGTTGATGAAGTGACCAGTGCAAGGTTGGTATATATATATGTGTTATATAGACAGTATTGTATTTGGTGATCAGGTAAGGAATGTGGCAGTACATGGCTTGCGAGAATGCAATAAAGTTTCCGTTTTCAGTAACATGGATATGGATGCTTGCTGGCTTCATTGCCGTGGCCCCAATCCGCATGCCAGATTGCGAGTTCGGGTTTTGGCTCGGTGCTGGCCTTGCCAGCAGGAGTGGGGAGGGGCCTAGGCTCCAAACCACGAATATCTGGGCATGGTCAGCAGCACATACCAGTGGCAAAGCCTTGTGGGGATGAATCTCATTAGTTTCAGAACCGCAAGTGCTGCGCTCCTGGTAGCCTCGTGATGCCAGAGAGAGAAGTTGCGGTATGCCCTGCTGATGAGGGGCAACCAGCCCGAAACAGCTGTCCAGAGCTCCGCATCTTTTTTCTCTTGGCATCACATGGTCTAATACCTTCATGTTCCTAAATTTTATTTTATACTTCCTAGAGTGTGGTGTTTTCCCTATTACATACACTGTGTGTGTGTGTTGTGTTGTGTGTTTCTCTCAGGGACATGTCGGGTGCCACATGGGGTGGGTCGTCCAGCGAAGAAGAGGAGGAGGAGGAGGAGGGTGTCAGTTCAGGGACTGGTCTGAATGACACCAGAGATGGTTTGGAGCAAACCTTCACCGGGACACTAGGTATGTACATACACTCAGGATTTGATTGGATGGCTGAGCTCCAGGGGGGAAGTACCTAATGGTAGGGAATAGGGAGACTTACGGAAGGAAGTGTAACATAATGAGGGGACTGGAGGTATACTTTTGGTGTGTTCCAACAGCCAACACTCCACACAGCCATAGAAACATGCCAGTATGCCATTCCTAACAGTATGTATGTGTTTGTTAGTTTTTGGCAAATTCTTGAGGTATATACAATAAAGGCCGACATACAAGAGGCAACTTTTTTTGCTTCAACATAAGTTGCAGCATAACGCATGCGTGTGAAATAGATTAAATGGAACACACAAACCAAAGTCTGAGCCAGTGGAGTGTAAGTCCACTGTACATGTCCTCGTACGTAGGTGGAAGTGCAGTGGTAGTTGTGGAAGAAGATGAAGAACAGAGAGATGGAGGGAGAGGAGGGGGAGAAGGAGAAGAAGTTTTGTTCAGGGTGACCCGCCACACCCCCCACCACTTGCACGGAGGTCAAAGGAGACTCCTGACCCCCGAGACCACGCCCCACTCGGCCGGCAAGAGGATGAAACTTGACGACACCTTATCTGCAGCACCAGCTGTGACTGCTCAAGGTCAGTGTACATATCTACTAGTTATTGTTCACTCCCTTACTTTGTGCAATAGTATAACCTAACAGCCCTTTAAAATGGCTTATTCCGGGCCAAATGTCATGTTATTCACCCCACAGAAAGCACGTAACATTTTAGCATGCACTGTGGCTATGTACATGGCAGTTACTTAATATCTTGTAATCTGTTTGTACCTGTTCAGTTATCATTTAGGGGATCCCTTGGGGTTAAGGTGAACCTCAAAAACAAGGGGTTTTACCCTCCAATTAATACGCATTTTGCCCCCTTTGATCAATTGTTCAAAGGAGGCCTGCACTGCTTGGTGGGTGATATCTGTGCCTGCTGTTTTGCCTTTTCCAGCATTTTGAATTCTAGCCTTAGATTGTGGACCCTCATTCCATGTACGACATATGTGGTGTTACAGCAGGGAGTGTGAAGGCTCCTCCTCAGCCTAGTACCAAGCCCGCCATTGGGAGTCTGAGTGCTGCATGGCCAGGTGTCATCTTCCCCTCCTCCTCCTCCTCCTCCAGAAAACAGACCAGAGAGGAGGCCACTCAGGTATATATAGTGATACATCTCCCCATCTGGGCCCTTTTTGGAGCCTTCTGGCCTCTCGTCACCACCAAGCGTTTTGTGTGTCTGACTCTTTGCTCAGACTCACTCACTGTGTATAATTTATCTTACAGCAACCAGTATAGCAAGTGTTCTTATAATTATGGGGGCAGGGGCCCTCTCACCCTCTCTTGGAGACCTTTTAATGTGCACAAACAGGGGGTTTTGCCTCCTCCTTTTTGTTAGTACAAGCGAAGGCCTGAGCAAGAGAAGACTGGGACAACATACACAGTGATTGTATTCTGAACCCTTGACTCTGAATTTGTAACATACAATGTCTCTTTCCTTTCTCTCCTTCCCCACTCTCTCCAACTCCAGACTGGTAGAGATGTGATGGGGCAGGGGTCCCTGGCAGAGACCCACCTCTCGTTTCTCCACCACCAGCTGGCGGCCACCTCGTCCCTGGCCAGCCAGCTCGTCGTGTCCCAGCAGACCCTGGTGGGCTCCGTCTGTCGCCAGCTGGAGACCCAGCAACTGGCCGGCTGCTTCCAAGACCACTTTGCCAGACTCCACCACTACCAGACCCAGCTGGAGCAACAGTACCAGCAACTGCAGGCCGCCTTCTACAAGGTATATACATCCCGTGTAGTGTATATGTAGTGAGTGGGAGACAAAATTAATATTCGTCGATTACAAGGTATATACATATGTATGTAGCAGTTGGAGACATTTTCATGGATTCTTTAACGGGGGTATTATTTATGCTACCGAATTGCATGAGTTCTCCCCCTAGAAAATGGGTGCTTTGTAACATTAGTAGACACTTAAAGTAGCTACGCTTGTCTTTGTCGTTCTTAGTATTATACGTATGCTGCATCTACCAGTGTAAGATATCAGATTTTCTGTTGTTAGCTTTGCCGTCCCTGCTATATGTACAGCTCTAGCACTAGTAAGCAACGATTTTAAGTATGATGACTTACTCAGTGTGTGGATATGTATGGGTGTATGGGAAAGTGCTCAGCGACCCTAACTGTATGATGGTGCAGTTGGAGGTAGCTGCAGGGGAGCGGGAAGATGACCAAGAGGATGAAGAATTGGACAGATATCGCGAGGAACCAGTGTTCCACGCCCGTCCCCCATCTCCCCAACCTCCCTTTACCTCAACCACACCCCCTCCACCAGACACACCTCAGTCCAGTAACACCAGGGGCAGACCCTTCAAGCCTGCAAACGAGAAGAGGGAGAGAGATGATTTTGAGCAGTCGGCCACTGAACCTGGACCCACAATGTCGGGCAGTCAAACAAGACGAAGTGATCGTCGCAGATCGTCGTTCTTTCAAATGCTACCTCCCCCAGGGGCGTATCTGCCTCACCTCTACCAGCCAGTTCCTCCCAACAGGAGAGATCCAGAGAGAGAAGAAGAAGAGGAGGAGGGAGAGAGTGTTGATGATGGAGTGGCTGCTGGTTTTTTCCCTCCCCCACCTCCCCTCCCTCCCTACTTCCACCCCCACCCATTCCCCTATTACTACCCTCCTCCGCCCCCTCATCATCATCTTTACCCTCCCTGGGTGCCACCCACCCCACACCTGGGTGGACACAACATGAGTTTCCCCCACCTCCAAACCTCCACCTCTTTCAACACTGGTCCCAGTGTGTCTCCCCTCCCTTCACACCCCAACCCTTACCCCAACTTCCGTCTCTACCCCGGGGTAGCCCCCGTTTACCCCGGACATACTCCATACGACTCGTTCTTTGGTCTAAACTCCAGTGGACACCATGCATTTGGACCGAGCTACCCGCCACACCACATGGGGGGACACATAGGAGGAGGGGGAGGGTATGAAGGTGTTCTGAGGGGGGTGACGAGAGAGGGTGGAGAGCAACACCAGCGACCAGTCAGTCCCTCTGGTGTGACAGGTGTCTCGATGCAGGTCCAGCCTCCCTCCAGTCCTCCCAGTGCTCCCAGTGACACCAATCTTCCCCAGACATCCTCCCTGGCCGATCCCAACACAGGTCAGCTTAATTTAGCCAATAACAATCTAATTTCATGTCTGCAAAGTTTGCCTCAAGAGGCAATTCCATGAATTATGAGGTTTGAGTCGTACAAGCTTTTATGGGCTGTAATAGCAGAGCTAGCAATGTTCAAATCTGTTGACGTTTGCTACTGAATCGTGAAAGTTGTCAGCAACAGTTTACTACTATGTATGATACGGCATACAACTGGTGCTTAGCCTTAAGTTCAGTGGCGTTGAACTGGTTTTAGCCTTTATATAAGTCATGCAGTGTGTTTTTTTAAATTACAACTTATTCTGCTGTTTGTCAGGCTCTGGTCTACTGCCACAGTCCTCCAGTGGGACTCTAATGCCACCAGTCCCCACCTCAGTCTCCCAGACCAGGGCTCCCAGCTCGTCCCTCCCCAAACTCACCACTCTCACATCTCACAGCAACCATCACACCCTCACAGGCTCTGCCAGCAACCCCCGCCCACTGCAGTCTGTTCCTCAATCATGGGGTGGTGTTGAGAGATCTCGCCAGGGTGGAGGGAGAGAGGAGGGTGGAGGAGAGAGGAAGAAAGTTGCTGGTTCACTGGCACAGGATGATGAGTCACTGTCTTCCCTGCCACTCAGTCTGCCTGATGATACCAGCAAGTTAGTCTACTCTACATGAATGTACATGTCACAAGGATTCGACATTTAGTATTTGCACATATTTTTGCATTCACACGGAAAGCATGTGTGTATTGCAGGAAAGTTTAACAAGGAGTGAAGCAATCCTACGTAATCGTCTCATTTTATGTTTGTCGGATGACACAATGATGGCACTGAAATATGCATGCATGCAATATCAAGTAGATGTCTTGCTCTATAGATAGCTTGTGTTCGCTCACCAAAAGCATTCGTTCTTTAGTTTAGTTTCCCCATACCAGGCGTGTGTAGGTTATGATCTAGCAGGCATACAGTAGCCAAGAATATGTTATTGATTCCAGGAGAGAGACGAGGGGAGAGGAAGGAGAAGGAGAGAGAGCTCCTGGGGATTTCTCAGTGTTTGATGCTCTGCGGGACACCATCTACTCTGAGGTGGCCACTCTCATTGCCAACAACGAGAACAGACCACACTTCTTGGTCAGTTAGCCAGTCAGTCTGTCATCACTTATGTATACACATGTTACATTATCCATGCCACAACAGGCTAGCAAAGTGAGCCTGCGTAGCGTCTTAATGCAAATGTAACAGGCAAGGCACATATCGTAATGTTCTAAGTGATTCTAAATATGTGCAGAATATCGAACCGCTCGCTTTGGTCGCCAAAAATGCATTATATGTGCTAGTACATCTATCTGTGGGTTTAGTCATGTGACTACTATATATACGTATGTACATAGTCACATGATCTGTATGGGGAAAACCCAACTGTCTCTCAGCAGAGTTAGTAATCACTGATTTTTACCAAAGAGAAAGCAGAACATGCAAACTAAACCAGGCTGGACATTAGTTCGTGATGGAAGTTGGACTAGATCATTACCTCACTGAAAGGAGCATTGACTGTCAGATGAACATTGGCTGTCTTGTCCCTCACCAGGTGGAGTTGTTCAGGGAGCTCCAGATGTTGTCTTCCGACTACCTGAGACAGAGAGCTCTGTACAGTCTCCAGGACCTGGTCACCCGCTACCTCACTGAGGAGGGCCTCCAGGGGAGAGGCCGGGGGAGGAAAACTTCCGCTCCGGTGAGTCGGCAAATCTAAACAGTCTGTGTTTTAAAGAGACGAACATGCCATAACGAAGTTATGAGGGACTCATTCTAAACTTTCAGCGGTAAAAGTTTGGTAGTTATGTGGCTACAAAGCAACTCCTTTCTGAGATTATGAGCCATGAGCCACCCATGTGTTTGTGTAAACATTTCACTTGTGTGTGTAGTGCATTTCTTATACCGTACCCTGCACGAATGACAAACTTATTGGCAAGCATAGTGAGCCTAGGTAGGTACTCATCGGAATGTTGGGTACTTGTATACGTGATGGACGCTGCACTGTTTATGACCCGAGACATCAATCTAATTACGTGAAAAGGATTCAAACTGCTTGAGTTCCCTCACCAAAATGTGTGTTGCAGTAAAGAACTCATTGTGTGAATCTAGGGACTGGAGTATAGCTGGTCGGAGCAGACACCCAGTGAGAGTCTAGTCACCTCCGATGACGACGAGTTTGGCAGAGCTAGTGCCGGGGGAGAGCGGGAGAGGAGAGAGGAGGAGGAGGAGGAAGAGGGTAGCCATCAGTCCACCCCTCCCAGGCCACGTGGCAAGGCTCCCTCTGCATCAGGCCTCACTGGAGACACTGTAGTACGACTGGACAAGGTCTGTATAATTAATCAAGCACCGGCTTTCTTGAATCATTCAGTGAGTACCCATCAAACCACCCACATTGTCAGAGCATGCTAAAATTGAATACCCGGATCAGAAACAGTACCATCTACATAATGTTGGCACAGTTGCAAAGTAAAACTGTGGGCCGCAGTATACCAATAGCTGATCTGAACGTACTGTGTTCATCATTGGTTTTCCTTTGCCTTGAGACCTCGTTGTTGATGCATGCAGGCAATTGCAAGGTTGCGTGAGTCGTATGGGTCATCGGGAACTATGCAGCCACCAGTGGTCAGCCCTGGTCCCCTCCAGAAACAGCCTCACATCAACACCGGGGAACTGGACCAACAGATCAAGGCCGTCATGACTGTCAGTCAACCTAAAGGCCATGATATACATACGATGCAACTTTATTGAGTGACATGCAGACTCACATGTGCGGCATGACAGAACATGCAACAAAGTGGAAAGCATTTCTATTGCGTGCGCGTAGACCCATCACACCCATACGTTTGAAGTTGCATGAAACTTTGTCAAGTTGCATCATGGCCTAGACTCCCCTTGCCTCATTGCATGTGATGTGTGTGTTGGTGTGTGTAGGAGGTCATTCCCCTACTGAAAGGGCACATGGAGAAGTCTTGCAGTCCGGAGCTACTGCAGGAGATCAGGCAGCTGGTGATGAAACTAACGCTCACTCAACTTAAGATACAGGTCTTTGCAAATTGGCCTCTCGCTTGCTTTTTAACGACACTCTTCTGTCTTATGTCCCCTTCTCTGTCTCCCCAGGGTCCTGGTAGTGTAGAGACCTTTTGCAAACAGTTGGAGACTGCTTTAGAGAATGCTCTCCAGAAATACCTCAACCAAATGTGGGTGAACCCCTATCATTAATGATGTCATGGCTCCCTTATTGACTAGGCTGAAGGAGTGTGGAGAGGCTCTGCTGGTGGAGGTCAGCGAGGTGTTGTTCAATGAGCTGGCTTTCTTCAGACTAGCACAGACCATGGAGTGGTATATAAGTCTACACTCACTATGAATATAGAGTAGTATGAAAGCCCTTTTCTCTTGTATTCATGCACTAATGGTGATCCTGTACTCTATAATGTGAAGGAAAAATGAACCCGGGCTTGGATCTGCTCCTAAGGTAAGAGAGTACATCTTGTTTCAACGTAAAATAGAGGCTGGTTTTGCCGCTTACAGCCATCACAATCTAAGGAGGTCGAGGGAGAGGTGGAGGGTGATGAGGGGAGGGCAGCAGAGGTTCTGCCAGTGTTACAGGCTCTCACTACTGCAGTTGAGAAGTCTCTTAGCGAGGAACAAGAGGCTCTGGGGAAGGTTAGTTGCTGAAACATGGTGCCACACATTCTATATGTGGTGTGTTTGAGTATACTATGGAATTGTCCAATGTATTTGGGGTTGAATTGCATACCAGAACCTTTGGGGAAAGAAAAGGTGTCCTTTTTCGGGAGAGATGTTAAAATTTTGGTGGTGTCCTTTAGAGAACGGTTCTACTGTATATATACACCTTTACTGCGATGGCTTAACATCTGTCTATCTCATATCTTACAGACAAGAGATGATGAACTGGCCAGAGAGTGGAATGGACCACAAGAGTGAGTCAATTATAGCTACGTAGATGCTATATAGGACACAATCCGGTTTCTCTTCCCCAGTGGGCCGTCTTCTCCCGGTCTAGAGGAAGATCAGGTAGAATTGACACACAGCTTTATATACAGTCATATGTATACCCTACATACACTTTGTCCCTCAGACCATCATTGTGGAGTTGTCTGCAAGTGAATCAAAGCCTATTGAGAGGTAGATTATAGCCAAAGCAGACACTATTACTACGATACTGCTCCACGTCTACTTCCTAGTGTTGGTAGTGGGGAGGAGGGAGAGGGCAATGAGGAGGAGGGAAAGAACAGTACTGGCACAACAGCCAAGAATACTGGTACAAAAAGTAATATGTAGGCAGACTGGATAGTAGTTTCTTGCAAAATTGTGGCATTAGCTAGCCTTCTTTAGCCCTTATGTACCGCCACATCCCCTTTGAATCTATAATAGGAGGGCGAGAGGAAACTCCTCCAACTCCAGTTATAGCTGCAGTGACTGGTGAGTCATACACACATTGTATACTGAGGATGTTTGTATTGTGACTGTTGTATAGGTACAGGCACCGCAGCACTCTCCACACAGTCACCACCACCAGACCTCTCTACTGATGTGAGTCTTGGTCACTAGCATATACCAACCGTGTATGAATGTGTTGGTATATATGCCATACAGACCAAAGTGGACGTTCAAATGAAGCTGGAGCAGGCATCTACAGGAGGCATTGCAGGGATACTAGCCTCCGTGGAGCAAGAACCTGGTACATACATACATACACACCACCATACTGTACCTGTACAATTAAACCTCTTTATAAAGGACACCTGGGGGTTGAGAGAACGAAGTGTCCCTTATATAGAGAGGTGTCCTTTATTCGAAGAGTCCCTTTTTAGATGTTTCACTGCTGTCTGTTTATGAAAGCTTAAAGGTTTCTTGTTTTTGCTTAGAGCTGGCGGGAGAGAGTGATCAACTGCCTGAACCTACTGGCCCTTCTGAAGGTCAGCAGACCATAGCACGCGCCACCATTACCACAAAATGTGTCCTTTCACTGCAGCAGTAGCTGAGCCATAACCTTGTACATGTCGCTGAGTTCTCTATCACAAAGGCACTGGTGTCACTTGTATATTATAATAAACACTCAACTGTACATATTATACTGTATGAGTACTCTCAAATTATAATGTATGGTCTGTTACGCACACAAACAGTGATGATGTGTTAGTTCAGTTCCTCTATCAGATTCCGACCTGCAAGGGAAGTTGTGGGTGGGCATTGGGGACTGGGTGGCTGGTGGATGGTGAGGAAGGTACAAAGACCTTCACTTAGCTCCTCCACGACCCTGTCCCTGGAGTGCTCAGTCGTGGAGGTGTTGTTGTTCAGTGGGGAGACTGTTTGGTCTTCTGTATCCGGGTTCTGTTCCTTGCAGAGGGTGGAGGCAGGGCCTTGACTTTCTGCCTTGATCGCAGAGCTGGTGTGGTTAGGTACCAGTGGGGAAAGATGCTGGGCTGTTCTGTCTTCTGTGGTCGGGTTCTGGTCCTTGGGCTGTTCCTTGTAGACGGTCGAGTTGGTGCCTTCTGCTTTCATCATTGACGTGTTGTAGTTCAGTGAGGGGAGACTCTGGGCTTTTATGTGTTTTGTAGCTCGTGGCAAGCTCTCTCTGGTATTTCGAGCAGCATCAGATGTAGATTCAATAGCAGGGTTTGCAGCACCAGGTGTGGATTTGGTCATGGTGTTTCTTTCAGTCTCTCCTTCACTGTCGGAGTCAGTCTCACCGCTACTGCTAGATTCAGTCCCTCCCTCGTCACTGGCGGAGTCACCTGACTCACAGGTGGAGGCCTCGTCGTCTCTCTCTGCTGCCACCAGACGAGCTGCCTGCTCCAACTCTGCCAGCTCCCAACCCATGCTACTCTTCTCCATCTTCACCTGAAAACACACACAAGCCAACAATAAACAGAACGTGCTGAAAATTGGTACGGTGACAAGTCACTTTACCTGCTTCAATTCAAGTGCCAGGTTCTGGATGTGTCTTGAGCTGGCTCTCTGGATCCAGACGCAGTAGTCAGTGATGTAGAGGTTGTTCATTACATAGTATGGTTCGGAGGAGTTGAGAATTCTCCTAATGTCCAGCAGACACTGCAGCAACTTCCTCCGTCCTACTCAATAATGAGAGACTTATCATAACAGTTCTCTGTGGGTATTGTACAGGATATAACATGCAAGTATATATTCCCTACCAAGTTATAAAAAGGAGGACCTAGGTATATATAACTTGTCCATCCCTATATACTGTACCACCGTATTTGTGATACACAGAAAGAGCTACACATCAGTGTAGATTACCCAGTAGAAAGAGTTGTGTAGTATCATGTAGGACACACTGCACCAACTGCCAGTGTCTGTAGAGAGGGTAGCAAAGACATCTCCTGGCACTGCAGTATATTACTTCCTCCACACGCCCTCTGAACACCTGCAGAGACAAAAAAAAACATAAGTGGTGCAACAGAGCCAACAACCTCTGTAGCATAAGGTTTACCTCTAGCCAGGAAAGAGTAGAGCTGAGCTTGCAGATGTTCCATGCCGATTCAACCTAGTAAGACCAATTCTAATACATGCACACTAAGTGTGAGTGGATTGACTGACATTGTGTTCACCCTCTGTGATGCGATAGTCATAGGCATAGGCAAATATTACATCCACTAGGCCCAAGTACAGGGTTCTCCGTGTTGCCTTGTCCAGGAGATCTGTGTAGTTATCACAGTCAAGGCCATCCGACATCAATGTCAAGGGTTCCTTATACAAACATGGATACAGTAGCGTGGATACACTCTTTGTTGGGTAGCTCTTTCAGTTGCACCCTTTCTTCGTCAGTAAATGGAACTAGAAAGACAAAAAATGTGTGTCAAACACTTATCTCGTTTAAAGGTCCCTCTTACTAATATCCTGGTCAGGTTCTCTTTGGCCTTTCCTGCAGATTCAAACCCAATACAAGTATCGACACTAGGAGCTAACATACCCTTTAGCTGTAGTGGTAGTTCCCTCAGACCTCTTCTTCTTGTCTGTCCAAGCCACTAGTTGCTGGGACCAAGGAGGCTGGAACTGGCACAGGGCTTCCATCATCTCTGCACCATCCATTAGATCAGCACTGTGGAATTGAACAATAATACAAAAGACAGTGCTCAATGAACTTCGGTGCAACCCTGGCTATATTTATACACAAAATAAGAGTAAAAGGTTGTTCTCACAGGTAGTGTTGAGGGTTGAAACTGGCCTCCTCATGGGCCAGTCGGGCCACTCTTCTCTCGTGACCTGTCATGCCATCAGGGTCAGGGCAATCCACTAGTGCAGGCAGCTCTTGCTACAGTGGATACACAACTGCAAACTCCTTCCATTCTCCAACTGCTAGGCTAATCGTACCTGGAGCTTGCTAAACACTGCAGTGTGTTGCTCAGCAAACCCATAAGCTGATGAGCGCTTCCCCAAAAGTAGTTCCTTGGTAAAAAAAATTGTACCACGGCATTCATAGAGGCACCACACGAAAAACCTACTGGCTTATCTTCCACCGGCATTTCCTGATCAATCTGCCAATCAAACTCCTCCTCCTCCACTTCTTCTTCTGTAGCTCCAGCACCTTATATTGATATCTGTTCAAATGACATGCTTCCTAGTTACCTTGCAATACCTGGTAAGACCTCAATGAGTGGGTTCTGCGGCGTTTTAGAAGTTGGTTGTTTCTTGGAGAGAAGTGATGTGATCATGCCCAGGTTTTCAAAGTGGACACCAACATGCAGCTTAGGCACATAGACTGTTATTGTTCCTACAGTACAGGGTTTGTCACAGTTGAAGTTAGTGGGACGAAACACACCTTTCTCAATGTCGTGTACTGCTCTCTCGCGCCCATCTTCCACTAGCTCTCCGGGTAAACAGAGTCTAAGGTAGCAGCAGAGAAGTAATAATCGCTACAATTAATAGTTTCTCCCGGACCTCAAGAAGTAGGGCTTGCAATAGAACTTGAAGAAGGTTCCATCAATACAGAACTCCGCCTCTGCGGCCTGAACGCAACAACCTTTTGGTTTTCATGGCGACTAGTGTCGCTCACCTTTGCAAAAGGAACACGCATGGTAATGATGATGAACGCATCATCCTGGGTCACGTCGAAACAGGGAGTCAGCATGCTATATATTATGCAGGGCTGTCCGGACACGTGTACTTGCACATGCGCAGTCTGGAAGGAGGAAAGAGGTGTGGCTAGCTATGGGCCGCCGGATCGGAGATGAAGCTGAGGTGGAGAGTCCTCTTGTTGTTCGGCATCACCGGGCTCCTCACTCTCCTCCTTGTGCTGTACCTGTATACAAGACCGTCGGACGAGCTGCTAGGACCGGAGGATCCGCGGAGCTACGCCCGTGGTCTTGAGAACGTCCCCGGACGGGACAAAATCTTGGGCTCCATTCTCACGCACATCCTGAAGCCCGAGCTGAGCCAACGCGTGGAGGTGGCTGAGGCAGACAGCGACCCAGGGATCTTGGTCTCCGTGAAGACGACCACGCGCTACCACCAGCACCGTCTCTCTCTGCTACTCTTCACGTGGATGAAGACCCTTCCTCCAGAGCAGGTAGCTACACTCTTTGGGGTCACGATGTGGGACTTTGATAGCTGTATTTGTTGTGTGCAGCTTTACATAGTGACCGATAGGAAGGCGAATGATCCGTGGATCAGAGAGGCCAAGTTGGCAGGTATCTTTACCATCGTTGCTGCAGATACATCCTTTACACCATCATTATCGTGTTTATGCTGCAGGCATCCATGTTATTAAAGCTCGCTGTCCTAAAGGACATACCAGGTATGGGGAGTGGTTCAAGGTATACACTGAATCAAACCTACTTGGGTTTCTCACATTGCTACATATAAATGTATATACATGTGTGTCTTCTGCTTGTAGTATATAACTAGTGCGTATAGTTCTTGCTATAATAATGTTAAATGTCTACAGTAGATGTGTGTTGTTCTCTTACTATAGCAAATGCATTGTTGAATGTTGTTCTTACTAGTGAGTCACTCTGCTGCAAGTCAGGCCTTGAATACGAACAGTTCTACAAAGCCTTGGAGAGTGGAAAAGTGTTCAGGTTTAGCACCAACGTTATGGTTCACAGTACAAATATATATATACCATCTTCCTAGGTGGTTCTGTCATTTTGATGACGATGAATACTTGAATGTTGTCAATCTCTTCAAAGAACTAAAGAAATACGATTCCTCTGCAGACTACTATGTCGGCACTGGCTAACTAAGCATGGAAAGAAACCAAAAAGAATTGGATGGTTCAAATTTTTCCCCGAGGCAAAGAGAACTCGCTACTTTTATGCGACAGGTGCTTCGTACTGTGTCAGCTCCGGTCTCATGAAGAAAGTGAAAAAGTACTTTCGAGGACAGTTGTTCCCTGTCACATGTCGGAAAATAGGTCTAACTGATGACTATACTGTTGGATCAGTCATTGGTGAGCTGACAATTGTATTGGGAGTATGTTTGTTCCTATTTATACATGAAGCCCTTAGAAGCCCCACCCCACTCGCCAATTCTCCTTGTTTTTTTCATGTGAAAGTGTGAGCTGTTCAGTTTACATTTATTGTTCATGACTAATTGATAATGCTCAAGATGTGTGTTTGAATTGTGTATATTACAGGAGGGGTTTTGGGGGTTAATCTGACAGAGGTACCATCCATGCTCAGTCAGGGAGAAGACTTCACCCATTTCAACATCACTCAACTCAAAAACATGGTCAGCTCGTGTCATCTCGTATTGGTTCTTTGGTCATCCCCAACTTCTTTTTTAGATCACCATTTCAAGTAAACTACATGCTAGCAACAGGGTCAAAATACCCACGATCTGCTTTCTCCAATGCAGAAGACCCAACTAGGTAAGTAGCTACGATGCTATAGAAACTGTGGACAAAGTTTATTTCTCCAGGTTTTTATCGTACCACTGTCTCCTGTATCCACAAGTCAACTGGTGCACCAACAAAACTCTTCACGTGTATAAGTCACAAATCTCTCATGTCTGAGACCTTGCTCTTTCATTTTATTCTCATGTCTGAGACCTTGCTCGTTCATTTTATACATTTTTACTTAAGCCTGATTGAATGCTTTGGGTCAGCTATGTAGCACAACTCAGTAATACGTTGTTTTTTGCACTCGAGAATGTGTTGCGCGCATGCGCGGGGCGGCAAAAACATGTCCGCGGACGACGACCAGCTCCTCCAAGCTCCGGACAAGTTTTCTTTCCCCTTCGAGCCGTACGGCATCCAGGAGCAGTTCATGCGTGCTCTGTATGACACGCTGGAGAAGGGAGGCATCGGTATATTTGAGAGTCCTACTGGAACGGTAAGTAGCGTAAAAATAATACTACACGATATAGTAGGGGTTGCCAGCGACCCCTGGGCCGTCCTTGAGACAGTCCTCATTGCTAGGAGTGTGCCACACACACACACAACACCATAGTTCGGTATTAATCTACAAATACCTATTGTGAAATATATGTGAAGTTACGGCAAACTCTGAACCTCGCTCTGAACGATGTTGCAAGGTAGGATGGAACCCTGAAATCTGACGGGCAGGAAAGCTAGAGCTTTACAATGTTGGCTCTGTAGTGCAGAGTTGGTTCTAGACTTCTGGTTTGTGGATGTGTTACAGGGAAAGTCGCTAAGTGTGATCTGTGGGGCCCTGCGGTGGCTGGTGGACAGTGAGCAGAGGGACAGAGAGGCAGTGGAGAGAACTCTCTCTGGTGGCACCGCTGGCTCTGGTGCCGCAGGTCAAGCAAATGAAGATGGAGATGATGGTGCGTATGTTGTGTTAAAATTACCATGTGTGCGTCTTTATTTGTGCTGTGTAGTTTTATGCGTGCTCATGTATTTGCAAAGTAAAGCAAGAATGATCACATTTCTCTCAGAGTCAGTTTAACCTTACTGTTTTAACCCAATTAAGAGAGCATCAGTGTGTGTGGGTGTGTGTGTGTGTGTATGCAGTGCCCGACTGGCTCAGAGACTATGATAGCCAGAGACTGCAGAAGGAAGCACAAACACAGACTCAAGGTCTTGTGATAATATTATAGCTCTACATACATATAGAACTCTATGCCCTGTTCTGGAGTGTGCTACTCTGTGTGTAATATGTAGGAGGAGATGGAGCGAAAGGTCAGACAGAGAGAGAAACTGAAGAAACTGAGACAAGAACAGAAACACATTGTATCGAGCAAATGGAAAACCAAGAGCAAAGTACGTATGTGTATTGTACTCAGTTCTGTTCTTGACACAGTAGATGTACAGTATGGTGTGATCTCTGTGGCTATATGGCAGGAGGACGGTGGTGTGGAGGAGATGGAGAGAGCAGGGGAGAAGGGTGGTGATGACCTTGATCAGGAAGAGGAGGAGGTTCTGGTGCAGGAATACCACAGTGAAGACGAGGGAGCACCAGAGAAAGAGTTAGTGATTTTTCATCCGTTTGAGCCAGTTTATTGCAGTAAATATGCAGATCAGACACTGAAGAAGAAGTTAAAGAGGAGTATGTTAGAAAGGTAACACAAGCCATGACTAGAGATTGTTGCTCTTTAATTCTGTTTCTCCCTGTCCTATTCCTAACCCCATCCTCCCTTGCTGTGTATGTATCTCTCCCCTCCTCTCTTTGGCTGGGGGACTAAGATCTACTACTGCAGTAGGACGCACTCACAGCTGGCACAGTTTGTCAAGGAGATCCAGAAGAGCCCGTATGGAGACACAATTCAAGTCGTCACTCTTGGATCCAGGCAGGTGAGATGGATAGAACGGCTGTAGTAGCGTATGGTCTTGTAGTATGTATGGACACAGTGGCATAGTTGACAGGACAGACACTGTCACACTGTTTGACAAACTCTTACGATCCCTTGCTGGAGGGGGTGACCATTTTTTTAAAGTTTGTCACATAAGGTGTCACCACTAAGGGCTGTCTAGTAGCTATAAAAATGATCGTAAAAAAAACTGACAGAGTCCTTTTTTCATTGAGCCCAATGTTTCTGGGACTGCACTCTCACCACGCAAGTAGGATCAGCTATACCCCTACGATCGCACTGGAGTTAAAGTACTGCAATACATCTATTCAAGGGCACTCAGCCACTGTTGTTGTGGCAATTCAACTGCTGACTACTACTTACTTTCTGCTGTGTTGTTTTTCAGAACCTGTGTATCAATGAGGACGTGAAGAGACTAAGACACCTCACCCTCATCAACGACCGCTGCCTCGAGATGCAGAGGAACAAGAAGAAGGGTCTGGCCACACACAAACCATAGCCTATACACACACTCATGCTTTGCCTACCCTCTCCTCAGAAAAGATTCAGCCCTCTCCTGAATACTCCAATAATGTACCCCTTACAAATATAATGTACGTATGTATATCCCAGCTTCATTTTAGTGTTTTTAGGAAAATGTCCTCACTTCACCACACGGTTTTTAAAACCCTGACGCAATGCTGGATGTGCCAAGTCACGAAAGCAGTTCAGCAGTGCTGTATGTGTGTATATAGGTAGGGAGGAGAAGTACTCATCTGATGGAAGACCGAGGGAGAAGAGGAAGAAGAGAAGGTCTAATACCACCACCACCTGTCCATTCCTGAAGCAAGGCACTCTCGAGAACTTCAGGGATCTGGCTCTGGTAGGTACAGACGTAGCTAGTGTGTCACCATTAATATACTGTATTGTTGTTTCTGATTGTCCCTAACTTACTATTGGCTGACTTTAGACTTTGCCCCAGACATAATATCAGTGAAACATGATTTTGGTAGTTTGCTACGTAGCATAGCAGCTAAATTTTTGAATGTGGCATTCTCAAGTGCAAAGTTTTCCTTATACTGTGCGAGCATACTATGCTCTTTTGCTTGATGTGTGTTTCTTTTCTTTCTCTCTTTCCGGCAGGCAGAGGTGCAGGATATAGAGCAGCTGGTTGGACTCGGTAGACAACTCGGAGCCTGTCCATACTATGGCGTCAGACACACAATCCCATCTGCTCAGGTACATACCCCACGACATCGCACACGCACTCTTTTGCTATCCTAAAAAAGTTGCTGTGTTTAGAGAGTAAAATGCGAATAAAAGGCCGATGCAATATTATATAATGCTCTCGCGGATACAGTGTTAAGAAATTTCATGTGTATGATTGAATTCATACAACATGTTTTTCGTGTCGTATGTTTTCATGTCATTCTCCATCTCCCCCTCCTCCCCCTCCCTCCCCACCTTCTATGCCAAGTTGGTGGTTCTGCCCTACAACACCCTCCTACATGCAGGCACCAGAGAGGCCCTGGGACTGAGGCTGAAGGGAAACATAGTCATTATTGATGAGGCTCACAATCTCCTGGACGTCATTAACTCTGTCCATTCTGTCGAGATCTCCGGCGCACATGTAGACCTCAGACTATGCATACACTTCCATGCATGCTGGTTGCCGTATGTGACTTTTTTTTAATTTTATAGGTGACAACATACACACTTGTATGCTACTTATACACTTCTGTATATGCATGCTGGTTGCCGTGTGTGACTTTTTTTACATATACATTGTATATACACTTGTATGCTGCTTATACACTTCTGTATATGCATGCTGGTTGCCGTGTGTGACTTTAATAGGTGACATATACATTGTATAATTATACACTTGTATGCTGCTTATACACTTCTGTATATGCATGCTGGTTGCCGTGTGTGACTTTTTTTACATATACATTGTATATACACTTGTATGCTGCTTATACACTTCTGTATATGCATGCTGGTTGCCGTGTGTGACTTTAATAGGTGACATATACATTGTATAATTATACACTTGTATGCTGCTTATACACTTCTATACATGCTGATTGACGTGTGTGGCTTTATATACAGGTGACAAAGGCTCTATCGCAGTTATCTCAATACAAACTCAGATACAAGTGAGCGATATTGAGGCTATATATATTATACAGACCTTATTCTGTGCTCTCATTTTCTGTGTTCAGGTCACGACTTAAGGCCAAGAATTTGATGTATGTAAACCACATACTAGACATTCTCAACTGTCTACTGAGAGCTGTATCAGGTATATTATGCTAGACCATGTACATGTACGTGTATATGAGACAATCCACACGCAAAAACTGGTATAACCTGGCATAAAATCGGTAGCTCCGTCCACATAATATTCTGATTTGGTGGCCATAAGCTGTTCCTTTTCAGAGATAGAGCTACTTTTATGCAGAGTCACGAAATTTTACAATCGTAGGAACGACTATATTTAATGCTGAAATACAGCCTTAGTTGGATGCGGTATCTGGCTGGGCGAGTATCGACTCCCGCATGTTATCTAGTAGTGTAGAGCTAAGCCTGTGACAGACTCTCAGCAAGCTAGCTGGCAAGAGACCATATAGTAAATTACCCCAGCCCATCAATTAGCAGTACCATGCTCACATTTCTAGTACACCAAAGGGTTTGCACTTTAGTGGCAAAAGTCTGGCATAAGCTATTACATGTATATATACTGTATTGAACCCTACCCACTCAAATATTGGGTGTGGTCTGATGGTTAAGGACTCACACACTTGATCCTGAGGTCCACGGTTCGATCCCGGGTCTCGTGGTGGTTTTTTTAATAATGATGTAATGTGAGTGTTGATATAAAAGGAACGTTTTTTCATCAGCTCTCGTGGCCAGCCCAAGTGGCTAAGTGGTTAGAGACGTGGGGACTGTCACATAAGGTGCCCGGTTCGAATCCCGGACCCGCACCGAAACTGACAGGTGGTCCAGAGCATTGGCTGGGAACAGCTCTGGTTCCTCCCCTTACCCATGAATCTACCACTGACCCATGTTTCTCAAAGGGCAGCGTATAGTTCGGCATAGCACTGCGTCTGTAGACGTCTGCCTGGAGAGATGGAGGGCTGGCCCATTATGTTTTTATTTTTTCAACCTTAGAATTTATTGTTTTGTTCATGGGTAAGTTTAGAAGGTGGCAGTTTTTTTTGGTTTTTTTGCACATGTAAGAAGTCTCTCAATGTAACTCTTTCGGATTTCCATTACCATTTTTTTCAACCTTAGATTTTATGATTTTTCCTTAAACAATCCATGGATGGATAAGATAAAATGGTGCAAAACATATAGTTTTCTTTTTTTAATGCAGGCCAGTAGTTTTTTTTATTATGTAAAAAGCCTCTCAACAACTCTCTACCAGTAGTTTTTTCCCTCTCAACAACTTTTTCTTTCGGATTGCCATTATTATTTTTGGTACACAGATTGCCCCATGTCCATTCTGCTTTTCAGAAAAACTAGCACCACAAAACTGCCACTCTACATGTCGAGTTGTGCATAATTTTGACATTTGACAACAGTGATGAAGATTATCCACTTTCAAGTGCTTCCACTAACCCTCGGTGCATATACATACGCAGCGAAGGTTAAAGTACTAAACTAGCAAGAGAGTAAATGGACAACGCATAGCCAAGCCTATCATTTAGCGGTACTGCACATGTGTATAGGTTTGACATTTCTAGTGCGCGGAGGATTTGGCACTTTAGTGCTTTCTATTAAGTGCGTCTTTTTGCCGCTTATAGATAGCAATAAGTCTGGAAGGTAAACAGACTTCCACCCCAGATGGTGAGTTACGTAGGTAGACCCTGAAGGTGTATAATACCTCAACTGTAGCTGTTTTATCACCAGCTGATGTAAAGTTGCTCCGATTGAACGATTTCCTCTTCACCTCTGGCCTGGACAACATCAACCTGTGTTAAAGTGAGTCCTTTCATAGCACCATACTACACGCATCAAGTATATTCCACGCTCCCAGCTATAGTCATGGTTGGTTTGTTCCTCAAGCATGTGCACAAGGCATTCCCCACTCCAGATGTGTTGTGTTCAATACAGGTTTCTAAGGTACTGCAAGCGGAGTGAGATATCAAAGAAGGTGATGTGCTGAGTTTTTACTATCTAGATACACATCTAATGGTAATTGTCTCTGATGCTCAGTTGAATGGATTTGTGGACCGTTTCTTTGACCACCATCTCTTGCCAGACTGTAAGTCCTGTATGTATATGCATACATAATACGTCCATAATTAACAAATACGTATACTGAGCACACATTGTAATGCATGTTCATGCAGTTAGTATCTTCACTCTGACTTAACCGTTGTTTCGTGGTATACGTCAGTAGATTGGTACATCAGTATGTCGTCAAACTTGATGAGTCCTCTGAGCATGCAATCAGTAAAGACAAAACCTTCTTGTGCTTTCTGTTGACAGATTTGTAGGCTTGCCTCTGCTCACTAAAACATTTTTGCCTGCCAGTTGTTTTTCTTCTCCTTTTCAATCTTACTCTCCTCAGCAGCACAAGTTGGGCAGGGCCAAGCGGATGGAAGTGGGCGGGGCCAGGGTGTGGGCGTAGCTAGTGGAGACGATAAACAGATGAGGTCGCCCCTGATGATTATTGATCATTTCTTTCGGCTCTCACATCTGCCGATAAGGACGGCAGGATTGTAGTTACCAAGTCAGGTATATACAGCCGAGTCATTTACTGTAAAGTTGCAATAAACTTTGTAGATTTGTGAAAACAAGGTCTTCTCAGAAAAAAAAACTATTGTTACCACAGTATAAATTTCTCCATCCACGAAATCATATGCACGGCTCATAACCAACAAAGAACCCAATTGAAAACTTTCGGTCTATTTGGTAGAGTGGAAAACCCTGAAAGATTGATAGTAGGTCACCCCCATGCCATGCAGATAATATATTGACTGACTCCTGTTCTCCTCTCCCCCACAGCTACAGTGACTCTCTCTAGACTGAAGTTCTTGCTCCTGAATCCAGCTGTCCATTTCTCCCCATCCTCCACGAGTGTCGGGCAGTGGTGGTGACTGGAGGAACCATGCAGCCTGTGAGACAACCATCCCTCGTCTCTCCTCTGGCTTTGAGTGATTTGCCATCATTTGTCCCAGAGTCCCAAAAACATAGTTGCTAGCTTTGTAAAAAGGGAGGCATATATATTAACAGGTTTTATGCACTTGAATTTGTGAAACCTAGTTTTACAGTGGAACCTCCAAAGAAATGGACCAGGCATTTTGTCCTTATAGGAAGGTTGTGTGCCAATGGGCGGTTACAAATACTAGAAAAGTGATTTAAGAGTGTACATACAATACTACTGTACTGTATTGTATGTTAGGTCTCAGAGTCAAAGATCAACTGCTCTATTCAGTTGGAGTGAGTCCCAGCAGAGTCATCGAGTTCTCCTGTGGTCAGTATAGTGCACTGAGTCATGTGACAGTCATGTGATCTCTGGTACAGGTCATGTGATCCCTGCAGACCACCTGCTCCCGTGGCTCTCTCCAGAGGTCCATCTGGTGTCACCTTTGACTTTACCTACCAGACCAGGGACACCACTGCACTGGTATGAATAGCCAGCCAATATGTTTCTCTGGGCAATTCTTAGCTATGTTCAAGCTTTTCTTGATGTTTTTGTAGTTGGGTTGCACTTATTTCCACAACCCAGAAATAGTAAGCTATTCTACAACTAGAACTATCATCCATTGAACTAAACTACAACACAGTTTAGAGAGTAAGCGTACAAAGTAGAAGGTGATGTGGTATAGTGAAAGTACTGCACGTGATGTGGTATAGTGCACCCCATGCCATCGTGCAGATTAAAAATTCTTCCCATATTTCCTTGCAAGCTCCACAACTCCCATTCTTCCATTTCCTGTCAGATGGATGAGTTGGGCCGAGCTATCCTCAACCTGTGTAATGTGGTTCCAGGGGGTGTGGTCTGTTTCTTTCCTTCTTATGAGTATGAGAAGAGGATCTATACCCACTGGACTACCACTGGCTGCCTGGACAAGATCAACTCCAAGAAAAAGGTGATGTCTCTTGTGGCGCCACAAATCAGTGTGTGAATGTTTGCTGTGCTGTGAAGGTGTTCAGAGAGCCAAAGATGGCATCGCAGGTCGAGACCATTCTCACCCAGTACTCCAGATGTATTGAGGTACATAATATACACATAGCTAACTGTATAGCGTAGTGTAGGGATTTTACTCGGTGCTGACTAAGAGTTCCGGAGTAGCAAAGGCTGAGGGGTAAGAGCTGTAATGTGAGAATCTGAAAGGCATGTTGTGGATAGCAGTGACCACTGAATAGGCACACAAACATTTGCTGACGTGCTACACATCAAAAGTGTCCCACTAATTATTAATGTGTTACCTGCAGTTCAATGGAGGAGGAGGAGGAGGAGGTGTAGGAGGCCTGAGTGGAGCTCTGCTGCGAGTGTGGTGGGAGGGAAACTCAGTGAGGGCATCAACTTCTCTGACGACATGGGAAGGTCACTAGCATCCGTACTCCACATAATGTAGATCCATCCTCGATGTGTACACTCTGCTTATACTGTATGCGTAGTCATGCACAAGGCTTGTATATGGTGCCACACATTTATAGCTATGAATAATGCTCTCTCTGTGTGTGTATATAGGTGTGTGGTGATGGGGGTCTACCATACCCTAATATCAAGTCCCCAGAGCTGGTGAGAAGATGCGGTACCTCAACTCCACTCTGGTGAGACGTTCCCCTCTATTGAAATTGCTTACGTCTAACTTCATATGTGGCGGGATGTTGTGCGCTAAATTATGTGCTAAGCATAGCTACCATTAACATCAATCATGCACACCAAACAGTGTGTTACCAATCAGTCATTGTCACGACAATCCCGTCATCTGCCACTAAGATAAGTGTCAGGAAAAAAAACATGAGGTCACAAGGCAAAGCCAATGCTAACACTCCATTCAGAAATGTAGTGAGCACACAAGCGCCGGCACAGATATAGTGGGGTATACTATAGTGTTCCCACTTCACCCCATCCCCCAGGCCAAGAGACCCCAGATGGAAAGCTGCCGGGCCAGATCCACTACGAGACCTCTGTATGAAGGCTGTAAACCAGTCCATCGGTCGCTCCATACGACATGCCCGTGACATACGCTGTATAGTCCTGCCGACCAGCGATACTCCCGGCCCAGTGTCCGCAGCAAACTGCCCCAGTGGATTCATCGCAACTGGTGGTGTGCGAGTCGTGTGGACCTGCTTTCCTCCTCTCTGAGGAAGGTGAGCTGCCCCTGGCTCCAGCTGTACATTGACTTCTATATACCACCTTTTCCTCACAGTTCTTCAATGAGAAAAAGAAAAAAACTTAAAATGTTTCATCAAATCAACTGCACTATCATTTCGACTTTATTCCCATGTCCATGATCACAAAACTGTTAATTTTGCACAAAAAGTAACCCGTTTGCTCTCAGGCTACTACAATAGCCAACATAATTATGTTCTTGAATACCTTGACTATGTTAAGCCGGCCATCTAAGTTCATGCATGATGATCCATCCAGTGGAGAGTCTTATATACACTGCGCATGCGTTTGGTCTCGTGCGAGTGCGCATGCTCGCTCATTATCTCAGCTCAGCAGTGTGTGAGAAGTCGCCCGGCAAAGATGGTCTGCAGCTATTCGACAGCAAACCATCGTTCTAGGATTAATAGTCTGCTTTGCTTGCTACACAGCGGCAGTCGACAATGGCGGTGAGTTGAGTGCCCTTTTACTATGAAAAAAACGAGGGAATAGCGAGCACACGGGCCCGACAACGACCATAGAATTTTCAGGCGAATGCTTTTCAGTTCTCTACTAAAGTCTAGCGCCAATGTGAACGGAGCTGGGCTCGTATATTTTAATGACACGCAATGAAAAAAGATGTTTTTCACGGTGAGGCAAGTTCTTAGCTATAGCTACCTGCTCATAGCATACCGAGTCACAACAACACGAGGTCCAGTAATTCCCCCTAGCGTGTGGGTATTTCCGGCATATCTGGATTCTCTCTCAAGCTTGATAGCCAGATTCCTTACAAGTCTAGTAGTGTGTCCTTTCTGAAGAGGTAGTGGGGCTTCACTCTTACTATATACTGTGTGTAGGTCATTTGTACATGCATTATTTTATGACCCTTGGAAATTACCCTTATGCAGGTGCGCTTGGGTTTGTTGATCTCTCCCAAATATCTTCCAGTCATGTGAACACCGTCCCAGTCAACTACTATGGCCATCTGCATCTCACCGATGGTTTCAAAATGGGCGATTTCAATGTGTACGACATTTATGTGAGTATTGGTAGGCTTCAGTTTAGCATCATAAATTCCATATAGGGATGCAGTATCTGGTTCCAGTCTTGTTTTGGTTTCAGTATTTTCCCTCAGTCTATTAGCCTTACTCAAAACTTGTGTGTTGGGAGAGAGGTGAGATATATAGCCAATTCTGAAGTAATGTTCACAGAGATGGAGGCATACTCTTTTGCAGCCATGCCTCTCACGTACACTTTTACCATTGGGTTTATTGCCATTCCTACAACACATGGTGCACAGGTATCAACAAATGGTTACATTTCCATGGAAGACACTCCTCGGTACGACACTCTTCCCGACTTCCCTGTCGCTGATACAGACGTGATTGTGGCTCCTTTCGCGGACCACATTAACACTGCCCGCACTGGCTCCGTACTCTACACCGATTTCTTGCAGTCTTATAACTATTACTCTCAGTTTAACGACATCAAAAACTTCATACGGTCCCATACCGGGGATGATTACTTTTACGGAGATAGAATGATGGTGGCCGAGTGGAAGAATGTTCCACTCTACGGTGCATCTGACGTGAGTTTTTCGCTTGCTGCATGTGTTTTATAAGTGTAAAGACAGTGGCCTTCGGACACATGACACATGTGTAGAACATTAGTAGCTCCCACATTTGAGTAGCTGTATTATAT